TGTAGTTTTAGAGTGCCACACAACATGTGCTTTTTCATTTTCACTTGACTAATTGCGTATCCCTTCTTGAAAAAGACACTTGACTTTGCAAATAGGGAAATATTTAGGAAGGAACTAAATTTCCCAGGAGTCTCAACCTTTCTTTTGTGAAAGAAAGACCATTTGTCTGGCCTGACTTACTGAATACTGGCTTTCACATAACTTCGAGAATCTTCTCTCTCATCTGTCTTCTTCCATTCGTGCATGCATGCTACATGCATTTTTAGTACAACTTAAGCATTTTCTTTAAAAAGGATTGTTTATAATGAAGAAAAAGAAGTGAAAATTAAGATAAAACATAAGAGATCAATTTACAGATTAGAGATCAATGATACAAATAATTTTTATGCTCTGCTGTTATAGTGACCTTTGAAAATGAATGCCATTATTACAACAGCAATTAAACTGAAGTCCCAATAACATTATGTAGCTACCATTTAAATCAGAATTTTGAATTTTTGGATCTTAAATTATTTTTTATATTTGCTTTTAATGGGAAACATTTTTAAAGGAAATAATAGATAATTGTTCAGGTAAATTTTCTGTTACATTCTGTAGAAAAATATGGTGTTTTTTTTCTCAGAGAAAACTTAATTGCTTATTTTTGCATAACAGGATACTCACCTGTTCAAAAACAGGGTTGATGTACAAGAATGAACAATTGATACATGCACTTTTCACATTTTGTATTGAATATAGGCCTTTAGACTAATGTTTCGACAAGTAGCTAATCATTTGATCAATCTTTGCGTAATTGAATAAAATGGTTTATTATTAATAAGTGAAGACACAAAAACAAGGTAAATTTGAATGCTAATTTGACAGCAACTTCAATTCCACCTTTTTTTTCTGTGATTAAGCAATTAGTTGACCAAAAGTCAAGGTGCCAGTCAAGCATTAAATTCCCCCATTTTTTCAGTAAATTATCAATAAAACCCTGCTAGCAGAGGCTCCTGTTACCAAGATCAACCACATGAGCTAGGTAAGTGTGTCCCCAAAGCAGTGTAATCTGATTCAGCATGTATTTGATTTGTTCAGTCTCTGTGACTTGGGATGATGTTTAATAATCAGACCATTAGATGACAGCCGTTCCACTGGGGATCGGCGTATTATAACGCCCATTGTGTTCCCGTTATTGCTGCCTAGACCATACAAGCTAACAAGACAGAAACATATGGATAATCTAAGATAAGGCTAAAATGGATTAGCAGAGAAAATCATTGACAGAGATTTAACAGGGAGATTTATAAGGCTGATGATGGGAACACTGTTGAAAAATGGCTCAGCAAGAAGGCAGGAGAAGATAATACCAAATTAGAAGTAATTAATAAGACTAGGGAGTGATATTCCCCTCACCTCTTGGGCCCTGGAGGCCAAGAATGCAGTATTGTTTTTTCTTTCTGTTGCAGTGCAGCACGCGGTTATTAAAGTGAAGACTGAAACTGAAACAGAAACCAGCGGCCTCCGCCACAGCTGTGCGGGTATGACCACGTCTCATCGCTCTGCCATGGCTACTACCTCCTCATCCTCCTCTTCTTCCTCCTCCTCATCCTCTGCACTGATGGTCTCCGATAACTTGCCTTCAGTTTTGTCCAAGCTTGAATATGGTGAAAGGATGTATGTAAATAGCACTTACGCAGAGCATGCCTCCTTGCCTCAGATATCTCATGCCTCCGGCGGCAAGTCCTCCATGCTGACGGCTTCGTCGGTTCACCAGCAGTACAAGAAAGTAGTTTACCAGACCAGTCATGACTATCACTTGTACGGAAGCACGGAAGCCAGGCAAGTCAATGTTTTTAATGTTGGTAAAACAAGTGCAAGTACGTTTCTGAGTCAAGGTCTTAATGAAGAAGGGGCAAAATGCCTTGTCTCATAGATGCAAAAAAAGTTAAGTCTCTTAAAATGATTTTCTTTTTTGCCATTATTATATAAAAGAGGCTGTGCACAGTGAAAAACTTGATTTCATGATTTTTAAAATTGTTGTTTAAGTCTCTTTAAAAATGATTTACGTCATACCAGGATATATGTACAAGATACTGGCTGAGAAACAGAAAGGAAATGTAACTTCAATTTTGAAAAGGAAATGAAAACTGGAAAAGGATGCTATATGTTTCATATTATTTAAAATGAAGTTCGTGCTGAAAATTGTCAAAGATTTTTTGCTCACAGTATATAAGAAGGCCATGTAATGTATTAAATAGATAATAATTATAAGTGCTTTTGCACCATAATTAAATTGTTCAAGGTTCTTGAACTGGCATTTGAATTTTCTCATTGAGCATGTGTTTAGTGTGAGGGTGTTTTGGTATACATGTACAGCGTATGGATAAATATGCATCTTTGTACAAATATCTGTATGCTGATTTGATATCAAGTAAGTGATATCAAGTTTGTGATCGGTTGAAAAATTGATTGATTGATCAATTAACTGATTGAGTGATTGATTTACAGTCATAGTCATGTATATGAGTGTATATGCATGTGTTTGTGTGCGTATGTGTGTGTAAGTGTGTGTGTGTGGAAATATCATTCTAATTTCATTCATCATTTTAATTTCATCAAAAGGTGATTATTTTATTTCAAAATTGCTATTTTATTTAACTTTTCTGATTCATTACAGTTGTCTGGGTACATTCATTAAACAGTTGCTTGCTTAGGTTGGTTAGTTTTTTCATATAATTCTCAAATTATTTTCCCATTATGTACTCACTAGAGCAGACGAGTTTGCCATGACAGCTAAATTGCATTTTGTCAGATAATGCACATTTTCTGTGTTATTCTAATTTAATTAATTAATAATTGGATTCTAGTTTAGATCATGTACCATTAATTGGTTTTATCATGTCATAAAATTTGGATGGTTGAAATAATCATTTTCTGTGATGTCAAAATGACAGTCTAATTATTACACTTTAAATGTGGACATGAAATTTAGAGATAACAAAAATTATATTTGACAAGAATATGTTTGCTCTAAGCAAATGAATTTTATCATCTGAACCTGATAGATAAAATTGCAATACCTCATTCAAATATTCTTTGGCAAAAACTTTTAGTGGCTGTTTTTGACTTTGAAATTAGAAGTAGATCTTATATTAGGGAGGTGAGAACACCTATATCCAGACTTAATCTGAGGGCCAAAAAATATGCTAGGCATATTAATTGTCATTTTTTTTTGTAAACTACAGTGAGACCTACTGTTTAGTGCAGGATATAAAAACCATATTTTACTTTACTTTTACATTATAACCCAAAGATTTTTGAGGATCAGCCATAATTCCTAATGTTTATGATGACCACTCATTATTTTTTCTAATTGAACAGATCTTTACTTTGACATAACAAAGAGTATTTTAAATATTTGGGACAGATTTTCATCAATTTTAATGCATAAACCTTGGAAAGTGAACCCGAGTTTTTCAGCAAGTAAACACCACTTAATTACACTCACTAGATTTATTTGGAGGACTGGATTAATTAACCGATAAACTGTCTGAAGCACAGCGGGGCCTCTTTGTTATTCTGTCCACTGCAAAGAGGGAGGCCATCGGGTTCCTGAGCTTTAATTCGCTGATTGATCCATGTGCTTGTTTGAAGATGAAAGTTCAGGTTTGATGTACTGTCTGAACTACTCATGCAGGATCCTCCTCAGAACAATATATACATTGAGTACATGGTATGTGTATTGCTCATTAATTTGTCTTATTAGTATTTTAATTCACAATAAATGCATATCTTGTTTCTTATAGATTGCTCTTGCAGAGACAAAGTGATGAAATGAATGTTGCTTATGTATACCTGTACATGTATAATTAGCCTTCTTAAAACAGGGGTCCATTTATCACTGTGTCTGAAAGGAAAAGTGCATAGAGAACTGACATTTATACTCTAGGGGACTTCTTAATAGTACAAAAACTTAAGTGTTTTAGTATACATGTTGACCATTCCATGTCGATGTAAGGTAATTACTCAGTCTTTACAATGGGGGGAAAGTTGTGAACTTTACAGATACTGTATTTTTTTTAAGTCATAATTTCTAAAAATTAGAACATTCCTATTGAGTGGTAGCAACAAAATTAAAAAGCTGGATATTCTATAGTTCTGTTCTATGCAGTAAAACCACAAATTAATGCTATATTGCAGAAATATAATTTTGTGATTGCAAAGTTATATATCTTTAAGTTTGATCATTTTTGCCCATTGAAAAGGTCATTACCTTACTTTCCTCTTCTCTTTGGCTGTGCTGGACTATTTCATCACTTAGTTTTACACTAAACACCGGAAACAGTCAATTCTGTTGTTAACATTGACAGTTAAATGTAAAGGTCATGCATACTTGTTAAGCTGAGGAAAATTCATTAGTCCAAAAGTTTGTTGACCTTAAGTTCGTCAGCAGATTTGCTTGTGAACCAATTAAATAAATGTACTTCTTACATGTACATGGTGATTTTTTAGAATCCCTGGACGCATTTATTTTTAATGACCACTAAACTAAAGGATGACAAAGAGAGTGGCTATATATAATCAAAAGCCTAAGTACTTCTTTATATCTTAGTTTAAGTAAAACGTAAGGTCCTCTAAAAGAGAGGGAGAGGAGGAGGAGGAAAAGTAGTAGTAAGGATCACGATATTACGATGAGAAAGGTGAAAACATAAAGATTAAACATAGGGACATTAAATGTGCCAAGAATAATGACAATTTCTACTCATGGTTATTTAACCCAGGTAAGGGCAAGGTAGATTTAATTAAAGATATGTGTTAAGGAAAAGGATTGTCATCCTTTAAGGATGATTTGTCATCCTTTAACCAGAAAAATAATATGTACATGTATGTCATGCATTGTCCTGTACACATTTTCTCCGTGCTTCAGTAAAGGTAGACAGCAATGGTTATTTTGGAGGACCATTTGGTTGTGGTGGCAGGATGGGATGTATATTGGGGTGGGGTGGGGTGAAGTGTTGTTAGGTGAGGTGTAGTGGGTTGGGGTGGGGTGTAGTCAGGTGGGGTTGGGTGGGGAACATGTAGCTAGATGGGGTGTAATAGGATGTAGTGGGTTGGGGTGGGGTGGAGTGAGGTGAGCTAGCTGGGGTAGGGTGTGATGGGGTGGGATCAGGTTTAGTGGGGTAGTGCGGGATATAGTGGGATGGGGTGGAGTGAGGTGAGCTAGCTGGGGTAGGGTGTGATGGGGTGGGAGCAGGTTTAGTGGGGTAGTGCGGGATATAGTGGGGTGGGGTGGAGTGAGGTGAGCTAGCTGGGGTAGGGTCTGGTAGGGTGGGGTCGGGTTTAGTGGGGTAGGGTGGGATATAGTGAGATGGGGTGGGGTGGAGTGAGGCAGTTAACCTCTGGCCATGGGCCTGCAAATAGAACTTCATTAATTGTGGATTATACATGTTGAATTATGTAACTGTTTATTTATTTTTTTGGTTCCAGTATGTATAGTAGAAAAGAACTGATTATTATTAAAAATTAGCAGGGAACTTATGTAATTTATTAAGTGCTTTTCACTTGATATACTACTAAATACAATGTAAATATTGATAGTAGAGCTGGAATCATGCCACTCAAGGCTCCCACCTTACAGAAGGTATACCATGTGAGTGTAATGAGTAGTGGGGCAGATTCTTTTGTGAAACAATATACTTAATGCGTCATTTTGTACTTTGTCTCAAAGATCACAGTTTCACTCCTAAGAATAAACCAGAAAGAGATTTACTTGTGTATTTTTAGTGTGGGCCATTAAAAATATTTTACTTATAATGGGTAAATCATAAGATTTTCAAGTTTTCCAAATGACAATATTTGATTCTCAAAAGTAAAGGATTCTGAACACCTAGAAAAACAAATTCACAAAAACTGCATGCTGTCATTTTGACACTGTCACAGAGTCTGCCCATAAAGCAGAAGTCCTTTAAAGCTTGTAGAATCTGATGTAGATTGATGCACTCTTGCTTGGAACCCATGGGAGACAGATGACTGACATATTTGTTCTGTGCAGGAAGGTTGGCAGAAACTGATGTCCCTGGTGGTGGGAAGACAGTGCAATAAAGACAGATCCACAGCAGCAACCTATTAGGCTGGGTTAATTATATTTCTCGGCATTAATTGCAGGCTGATATGCAGACACTTTGCTATATAGCCACTAGAGCTTTTAAGATGTGAGTGACATTTAATCTTTGTGTTACTGTTGGAGGTTCACATTTTAATCAGGTAAAATTATTTAGCTGTTAATTAGCAGCACAACAGTGACTTTCAGTATTTATTTTGTGTATCAAAGGGATAGATACAAAGTTTTGCTGCCATGCAATATATATGCAAATAACAGCAATATATGATATGCTTTGGAATTTTTTAAAATGATTAAAGCAAAAAAATTCTCTATGTGATGAAAAAAGACATGGCTTTATACTTAGGGTCTACATGTACTTAGTCTAACATGACAGTATTTGTAATGCTAAATTGTTTGATGCTCTTATATAAAATGATCATACAGGTTTAACATGCATGTTAGAATTCTGGGCCATTTATAATTAGAATATTTTAGCCTTATCCACAGTTAATGTATATACTGTAGGTTAGAATTAAAACAGATGAGATTATTACATAATTGATTATGAATATGAATAGAATATGATGTTATATCCGGGGGTTTGCTATGTTATATAAAACTAAATATAACCACCCTGTCAACATAAAAAAACATAGTATTAACTGGCCTGATGTCATCAAAAACCACACTATAATAACCAATATCAACTTTGGCTTCCTCCCTGATGTCATCAGAACATATATCTACCTTTGACACCCCGACTGTTATGTCATGTCATGGCCAGCCGTGCACGCCCCCTATCCAATTGTTACGTAATGACACAACCAGCCAAGACGGACCATCATGTTGTAGTTTTTTGTTTTAAATTTGCATCACATATATCTTTGGAATAGTCATATAGTATTAGATTATATAATAAAACAATTATACACTTTGGCTTTCGGTCAAAACAAAATGTTGGCCCTATCCAAACTTTTTTTTTTTTACACAAAATGAGCGTGCAATGAATTTGAGCATTCAGATTAACTTAAGATACTTTTGAAAATTATGTTTTATTCAGAAAAACTGAAAAAAAATATCTCAAAGTTTACAAAAAGCTGGGTTGTCAGAATAAGTTATCATAAGTAATTAATCATAAGTAAGGTGAGATTTAAGATATCTGAATATCAGATTTTTTTCAATTTATGAATAATCACCATTTAAAACTTGAATAATATTCATTTGGTCATGATACTATAGATGACACACCCTTGGAGATATGGTATGGGGTTGCAAATTAATACATTAATTTTGATATTGTATATGATGTGATTAATTTTATCTTAATCATATAGGGTACATCCTTATTTTTAAGTATTCAGTAATTGTTTCATTATTAATTAAGAGTAAGTGTGATTTCAGGATGAATGAGCAACATGTAAGCAAACAAAAGGGAAATTTGTATTAATGATGACAGCCTTTAAATTTTCATTACCTAGATAATAGTGGGTATATATGGGCATGCTGAATACTGGAGTTCTTTATCTTAGTTCTGCAAAACATTTTTCAAGTTAATAATCCACTTCAGACTCATACATACTTTTAATGCTTTTGAACCCCTAAACACTTATGATTCAGTTTTGGTAACAATGATTATATCCCTATTAAAAAAAAGGGGTCATTTGGCTGATGTAAAGTACACTCATGTAATTGACATGCTAATACCAGTAAACATGGATGACATCAGTTTTATTTGAATTTGCTGGTACATGTAATTAATTGTTCGTCTTGTTTCTGCTATCATCTTTAAGGTGTGGCGCTGAAAGGTTTCTGCTTATTATAAGAAGTGTTGATTGCAGCAGCATTAACACCACAGTATAACACATAATTAGTAAACAGGGAAAACAATTTCCACTGAAAATTGGTGGTATGTGTGGAAAATTTTTTTAAATGTAATTGCGATTTGCAATGAAGAAAGTCTCTCTCTCTCTCTCTTTCTCTCTCTCCTGCAGGTGAGCTGGTATGCTGCAAGCAATTAGTTTAACTACATTGTAATAACCTTGGCAGCAGCACCCAAATAATTGAATCAACTGTTGAACGATGAACAAAATAAAATGAGAGCAATTTTCTCTTATAAAAATAATCTACAGTAATTTTCTGCTCCATTGTAAAATATAAATGGCTCTTTCAAAGCTATGCAATTTAGCAGCCAAGTGCAGTACTTAAGGAGTAATTTTGACACCCAAGGGTGAGAGAAATTATGACACTACAGTTACCCCTCAATTTTATGTGAAAGTTCACCGGATATTAAGTTTGTTTCAGCCTTATTATCAGATTCAGAGCAGTTGGTTTTTATGGACAGTTAAAGAATAAGCCATGGATAGTTTTCTCTGGCACTTGTTATTGTATTATATTATATTAAATATGGGGAGGTCTGTTTGCTTTGTCAAAGGGTCATTAATAAGCCAGGCTTTTCCTCCTCTCTTTTTAATCACTAATCTCCTAAGACGATCATTTGGGTCATCTTTAGAATGAAAGTTTTCAATCATATTTAAATGTCTCTGCCCCCCCCCCCCCCAAAAAAAAAAAAAAAAAGGTTTCCTCCATGCCATACATGCTTGTACATTTGTACCATTGGATCTCGTTCTTTTTGATAGCTGATGAATTAATTTGGCCCCCTTTCAGTGCATTATAGACAGAAATCATTTTCAATTTTGGACTTAGGTCCTGGACATGTCTAGGTGGCCAGCCAAAAACATTAGGTGGCTGATATGATATGCTATATATATGGCACACAATAAGTATGTGTTAGACCTTTATACAATGAAAGTCAATTTTTATGGAAATATCAACACTTTTCCCTTAATCACCAAGGGAATACTGCAAATCACATTTGTTGCTAAACAGCTAATTCATAATTTTATCCGATTTAAATGTGAACCTCCATGCTAACACAGAAAAGTGTCATTCACATCTTTAAAGTTCTAGTGCCTATAATTTATAGCATTAAAATTATACATATTAGCCAGCACTTAATACCGAGAAAAAATTAACCCAGCCTAATAATTGTTGCTGCTGTGCTGTGGGTCTGTCTTTATTGCATAGCCAACTCAGTCTTCCAAGACCTGTTCACAGATTTGCAATTCCATAAACTTGTTTTAGATTCTAAGAATTCTTTTTTGACAGTCACTTTTGTGAAGGAGAGAGAGTCAATGTGAGAGAGTCAATGTTGAAATCATGACAGTAATTTTTTAAAGAATTTAGAACTTGAAATTGTGTTTATTCAAGCAGATGGTAATTTTCCCAACAGTTTTTGGATGGGGATCGAATACTAGTGCTGTAATACCTTGATTGGCGATTAATAAAAAGTTATTGATCATGATATTTCCAGGAGTACACTTAGCATATCTATATAACTATCAAAAAGAAATATACATGTCCATAGCAAAATATGTTATAATGACAAAACCTGTTTGAGATATAGGTAAAATGATTATGCGGCATTAAAATAGAATCAAACACAATTATCACCTTTAAAATGAATTTTATGAATTCGATTTGAAAGTTTTATCCATAACCCATGGATGAATGCTATTATTTCATTAGTTCTCACCCTATAAGTTACTATAAGTTACTATAAGTAACTGGCTCGCGCTGCCAGTAATTACGCGGCGGGATATTCAGTGCACAGACCGTGATCATAAGACATACCGAAAATAGAAAATAGAAAATAGACATTGCATGTGAACGAAGCCTTAATTATTTTCTCACCCACATTCATATTTAACCTTTTGATTCTAATGTTGCTGTAATTAGTAATAGTCATCCAGTTATCAGATTTCAGACATTTTTTCTCTTGCTGTTGAAGACTTTTTTCTCATTAAATGCAACAGTATCTTCTGTGTGGTATGTTGCACAGTAGCTGCTTGATTGGTAATATATAACCTCACCAGGCTTAGCGAGGAAATTCAATGCTCATGCCGCAGGCTCCTTTGTTACAATTATTCTGGCTTTAATATCTGTCTCCCAGTACCAGTCAATTATTAACCTCTCCTTGATGCAGACGCCCTGTGTTTTGGGTCTCACTTGGTGATTTCTGTTCTTCACAGCACTATTAACTATATATGCAATCCCCACCATCTCCTTGCTCCTCAGAAGCCGCAGGGTGAAAAACTTAATGTTTCTGCTTCATTTTGTTCTGCTGGGTAAAATTTCTTCATTACTTATCATAATACAAATGTGATTAGAAAAAATGTCACATTGATTATCGGAGTATTTGTGTGTCGATACTGTTGTACATGAAAAATTTCAAAGCTCAAGTTACAAGCTTTAAGGTTTCTGGTCAGTCAAGCTGACTCCCAACTCCCTCTTACAGGGTGGGGATTCATGCATGTTGTTTCACGTGTTGTTTTTCACAGTTAAATATTTTAAGTTCCTGAAACAGGCAAATTGTTCTTGGATTGACTAGGTTTTCATCAGTTATTTAACAGCCAAAAAAAGAATAATTTATTTTATTTCAGCAGTACTTGTACTTGGAAATAATTGACTTTTCATGGGGATCATTTCTAAACTTTGGCAGACACCAGTATGTCAGATATTATTAGGGTAACTATTCAAAGAATATGACATAAAATAAATGGAGAATAAATACATCACCCATTATTTCAGATCATTAACGAGCCCTTGCCACTACTTTGACACAACATTATACTAAAAAATACATTACTTGGGCATGGTTACCATTAAGAATCTATGATTGGATAAAAAATGGCAACATTGAATATCCAGCTTCAGGTCACAAGCTAAAAACAAACTGGCGACCCTGAGGTATAATAAGAATAGAGCAGTGATATTTATTCATGGTCAGGGAAAAGGATGTTATTTATTGGACTCAGGTGGGTGATAATGACATTAATTATTCATGTGAGGGGCATAAAATTTAGCCCCAGAAACAGGATTGTAAAGGGTGCTGAAAATCCTACACATTTGTCTGCAATTATAGAACCCACTACACTTATTTTAATCTAAAGTAATATACCATACTTAATGAAAATAATTGGAATAAAAACACATAAAGCACATGGACAATTACTAAGCAGTCAGCCCAGTTCTTGCCTTACTCACTTCAGCAGAGGTCTAGGTTGATACATTGTTTCTTACTGTATTGGTTTTATTATTATTTTATTATTATTAATTATTTTGTAAACTGTCTAATTTTTTAAAATAAAATATGGAAAATCAAAAAGAGAAGTATTACAGTTTTTGCCATAAATGCATCTTACATTCCTGCCCAGGGAGGGGGTGGGACTATTGGTATAAAACAATTATTGAGAAGAACTTCGGTCAAGCACAAGAGCCATACATGAAACTTCTAGGTATTAAGAGTGGACATTTAGGTGGACGTTGGATTAACTAGGCTAAGATGTCTGCAGATATGAAACAGCTCAACCTTGTGTCACAAAAAGTAAGAAAAGACTTTTTAAACCAAGTCCAAATATGCAATGGTATGGTATTGTACTATATCTTTCAAATTCCAAATATAATTTGAAATTCAGGTTAAACACAATCAGAAACACATTGGTAAAATGTGAGTAAAAAATCGTAATAAAATGAATGAGCTAAGGAAACAATTTCTGAATTTTAACCCAAGAAAACCAAGGAAAAGCATTTGTATTAGCTCTACAGTAGTTACTTAAAATTACTAAGATAAATACCAGTTATTTTATTTATCTGTCAGTGTAGACAGGGGAAATGCTGCAATTAATAGTTAAGTTCATATTATAATTCAGTAATTTGATTCTAATTTGAAAGAATATCAATCACGGTGTGCTTTAATAATACTCATCTTTTGAAAGGAGTGATGGAATGATCATATCAGTTCATATTGCTCTTTTTGAGGAAATTACTTTGACTCCAATAAGATATGTAACTGTAGGCATTAAATCAGTGTTTGTGTTTCAAATGTTCTCTGTGTAGTTCTGTTATTATAAGAAAAAAGTGAAACTCAGTTAAATTGATTATACTGTAAAATACTAATACAAGGTCAAGGCTGTCAGTGATTTCCTTCTGTAATATATGTACAGATTGTGTGATATATTTAATACTATTTTTTATTTTATTTTTGCTTGAAAAAGTTTGTTTCAGAAAATCAGCATGATTTTTTAATATTAAAAAATCAGTCTCATATTGAATGTTGTTGACCAAGTCAGACAAACTAACTTTGAAATTTTTGTTTTTATTGTGTGTTTATTATGTTTGCTTGTATGTCTATGCATTGAAATATTATTGGTTTACGATAAACTTCTTTCACCAAAGATCACTCACTTATATCCATCACTCAGTTTTGTTTCAAGTGAGGAATGTTGTATTTTTTAAAACCTTTACTGATTTAACTGTATTGAAAATTGGTTGATTATATTTGTTTCTATTTCTTTTGGAAGTATGACTGCCAGCTAATATGTCCTTATTATTTTAATTTTAATAACCTGTTTTGTGAAAAATGAATTTTATAACTAATTATTATGTATAACAAAAAACTCATTTCTTTTTTTGTGCAGCATATTGTACATTTAAAATTATACATCAAAGACTCGAGTGACTCAGATCCAGGGGTTTTTAATTATTACTACACAAAATTATTTACAGTTAATTTAACTTCACTGATATTCACTCATGTGATGCCTGTTAATTTTTCATTTAGTTCATTAATAAAGACAAAAAATTTCTGTTTGTACATTATTTCCTAGTTTATTTTGATAGACTGATTTTCTGGGTTCTCTGGAATAATATGTGAAAAGTAAATAGTGGTAATTAATCAATGCTTTGCTGCAGGGTTTTGACAATGAGTTTAAATGTAAAATTAACGTTTTTCAAGTTGCAGGGCAGTGATGAAGATTGATTATAGGGAATTATCTGCATAATGATGATTTTATGCTACATCCTGTTTCTTGCCTTTTAGCAGTAAGGGTAATTAAATAACTGTTGTCAGAATTTATTATATGAATTCAGAGATTTTCTTGTGAAATTTTAGTTCCATTTCTCTATCTAAAATGACCTCAAAACATATCTATAAATGATCTTAAAACATATCTAGGATCATGTCCATTAGGAGCACGGATTAATGCTTTAAAAATTTCTTTCCTTCTTCTAGAATTCTACTTTCCTTTTTTAATCATTAGATTTTGATTTCATTATCTCACTATATACCTCCTAGAGTACACCGTGAAAAACATAAAGTTTGTGTTTCATCCTTTTTAAAACAAATTAATGCTGTTTTACTAGCATGTCCTTTGCCCTTTCTTTACAATACTCCCCAACTCAGGATAACTCTGAGAATTGATTATTTTTACTGACATGGGTTGTGAAAACAGGATCTAATTGCTATCTAATCAATTTTGATGATTAAAATCATTATGAAAATGAAAATTTCAACAGAAATTGTTCTTAATTTCACCCAAAATTACATGGCTATTCTGAAAAGGGGTCAGATTGAATCCATCAAAGTGGACATTGATTAAAATTATGTTATGGCATTATGCAGAAAAAGTAGTCATTACTAAACTATTTAGTAGTAGTATATTGTATACTATGGTTATGATGATTTGACATATAAAGTTTTAGTTTATCAATCATTGTTACTGTGATTTTATAGTATATGGCCATATATCGTTGTATTCCAAGGGATAGACTATCTGAAATTTTCATTTTTTTTTTTTTGGTGGTGGGGGAGGGGGGGGGGGGTTAACTTGTAAAATATTTGAACAGGAAATGGATTTCATTTTTGAAAAGCTTATCATTGATTTATTGGTCCATATACCTGAAGTAATAAATTTAGTATTAAAACAATCTGTATCACTATTGTTTTTTCTTTTTCTATTCTTTTATTTTGTCATATTTGATGTGTTGTGGGGAAGGCTGGTTGTATATACTGTATGGAATACCTGTGGTTTAAAAGGAAAGTTAATGTATTAAGTGTAGTCCTTAAAGTAGAATTAGGAAAATTTTTACGGGTTTATTCTAAACATTATAAAGTCTTTAGATGCTAAGTGCAGTTACAAAATCTGACAAAGATGACATTTTTTTAATTTGATGAAAGTTAAGGACTTCTGCATGGATATGAAAATTTACACAGGATTTTACAGCTGACTGATTTACGAGTTCTGTAATTGAATAAATATGGGCGGTAAGTGAAATAATTACACGGATGATTACCCGGTAGTGTTACATATACTCACAAATTACAGTACATGTGTATCTGAGCCCACACACTTCTTATGATCATTTCAATGGACTGTGCAAATATACTTCTATTCTTAATCAGTTATGTATCAACATGCTCACACATGAACATGTGCACTAGAGTGGCTTTTCAGGTACAGAGAATTGAAGCATGTAGCATTTAATGACATTTTATTAAAATCAGGTTTGCAATTTTAATTTTCACCACACAGTATTTGGACTTTTTGTTAGAAATACTTAATCTCTTTTTAATCTTTTTTTACATGGTTGTTATATGACAATTTTGTTACTAGTAAATTGACGTAAAATACAAAAATGGAAAATGTTTTGTGTTGGTGTTTAAGACCCAGAGATGTAGGTACAGTATATTGATTCTCTTGTTTACCTATCCATATCTATATTACTGATTATGTTTTTCTAAGTTTTTGTGTGCTATTTTCAAATGGGCTCACGCATTCAGCTTTAAAATCTTCAGAAAAAGCTAGCAGTTATGTTAATTGACAGTATGGTTCTTAGAATTCTCATACGTGAATGGCTTGAACTTGGTCGACACTTGTTGATGTGGCTTTGTGATGGGCCAAGAGGATATTGCTGGCTAATTGTTCTTGTATCACTCAGTATACAGATGAACTAATTTGGTCAGCACGCTGTGAACAAATTCTTTACATCTGCGGCAGAGAGTAATGGGCTATTATTTTAAGCCATTTTATCATTTACCCAATTGTGGATATAATTGGCAATGAAGAGGTATTGGCGGTTCAGAAAGAGATTGGAGAACAGAGAAGTATGAACTCCTACTGATCCAGCAGAGGCTTGGTATTATTTGACGGAAGATTTGGCGAGGACCACAGTGTCAAAGATGTAAGATATTAAGCTAGGTTTAGCTATCCAAGTTGGCGATATTTTTGAGTATTTCTGTTTTATGAAATGTGAAAGATTGGGTGTTAGAGTGTGATAATGTTGTGGTTGTTGCTGCAGTTACAGTGAGATGTTGCTAAGATAGGCTTAATACTACTGGTACAAGTTACATGTGTGCTTGCGTTGCAAACAATGTAGTTAAAAAATGAATTTTTCTTTTGTTCAATAATTTGACAACATATACTTAAATTTAATAAAAAGCATAGTAAAAAGTTTGGTGTAATTTTATTTCTCTCACTGTTGAAGAAAATTGTTTATTATAATGATAACCTCATCAGGGAGTGTGTGTGTGTGTTATGATAGTGAAAATTTATTATTTGCTCAATGGTTTAAAAACACAGATAAATAGAATGGTTAATAATGTCCTCATTATTTATAAGCATAGTAAAAAGTTTGGTGTATTTATTGCTCTCACTGTTGGAGAAAATTGTTTATTGTATTGATAACCTCATCATCAGTGAGTGTGTGTGTGTGTTATGATAGTGAAAATATATTATTTGTCTAATGGTTTAAAAAAAGATAAATAGAAAGGTTAAATAATGTCCTCATTATTTATATTTTATTTACCTTGCTGACGTATTGTGGTACCATACAATGTTATTTGAAACAGTAATACATAATATTAAGCTTCATGCATCAGATATGGTTTACAGTTTTGAAAACCATTTTATTTTAATTTGTTTGTGTTTCCATTTCATCAATTTTGGCTGTAGGGCAAATAGTGTAAATACATGGAATACAATTTAACTACTACATGTAATGTCATCAATATATAGCAAGACAAGTCTGTATAAATGCTGAAAAAAAAAACATTTTGTGTCTTTCTTGGTTGACTGTTCTTTTTTTTTTTTTTCTAATTTGAGGTAAGCAATCCAGTTTCTACCATAAGGAAGATTGACTTATTATTTTATCAGAACAGACATGAACTTTCTCTGCCAGATATTACAGAATTCCAAGATTTTAAATTTAATTTGAATGAGTCCTGAGATTTATCATTGACAAGATAAAATGTTTGGTCCCACAGTGCTAATTCTAAGGTGTTTTTTTTTTAATCCAGGCTCGTGTCTGTTAAATTTTATTAATGTTCTCAAACAAAATATGAATGTGCTAATATGCTTCATTGGTTCAGCCTTGATAGCTACATGTAGGTCAGTTAAGCTGCAATGTGTTAATTCAGCATAACTATGATGCTTAATAAAAAATATTATTGCGTCCAGGTACCAACACTCCACCAGTTCAGCAGACAACCTCTCCAGCTACATGAGCCCAGAACAAATGGCCAGCTACAACCGACAGATGACCTCCTCTTCCCTGTATGGCCACCATCCCATGTTTAAACAGGAGTTTGCCAACAGTACCTACAACATGGTGGCAGCGGCGGGACACTCTGGATATCACCACCAGGGGGGGCTGCTGGCTGTGAAACAAGAACCTCGGGAGATTGGTTGTGAAGAAGGTAGGAGACTGGAGTATTACTAGCTCTGTCCATATTGACCAGATTTTGAACTTCCAGTGGTAATGGCACGATACTATTCTACTAAATTTTTAGCAAATTTTCCAGTGTTTTTTTTTTAAATCTTATTAATTTTCCATTGATGGTTTTTATACAAGCTGGTATATGCATTCATCTTTAACTTTCCAATGCATTCTCAAAAAATATATATGTACCTCACTGTTTACTAAAAATTTTATTATTTTTTTTTTTATGTTGTTTTACTTGAGTCTCTGTTATATAAAAAATATGATTCTGGTCTGAAGCTCAGTTGTTCATAAAAATATCCATTACACTTTTTTCTGTTTAATATTGTGATAAAAAATGATGAATTTGTCCATTTTTAATAATAAGATAATATAATGTGATAAGAAAATATAATGTTCCATTTTTTAAAATAATAATGATATTTATTTAGATTGTAAGATCCAGATATGTTCAGAATAGACATCGCAATGTAAAATACATGTACAAATTAAGGAAAAGAAAAGGTAAATGATAAAAACAATTTGCAGTTGATTTGTGTAAAGTTAAACTAAATAGTTCTTTCCTTAATAATCAAAGCCTATTAAAAAGTTTATTCGGTCTATTAATAACCTAATGCATATGAACAAATCTATATTTATTGTAATATTTTATATCTCCAGAGGGCCCGTCCTGTGTCAGTTTTCCTAGGTCGGACTTCTCTATACGCAGCAGCCCACCAGAGGGTGAGTGTTCTGTATATCATGTATATATTTTATGATTATTTATACATATACAGCTGCACATTAAAAAAAAGAATTTATTAAAAACCTTTAAATAATATTTTGGTTAAGGTGTATCATTTAGTTTATATTGGTTTTTAATTATCTGTGTAGTTATAGATTTATCTACATAATATGTAAACAGTGCTAAGAGGCATGTGTACTGGGGTTTTAAGAAGTGAATTATTATCATATTATATTATAACACTTACCTATATACAGTGGTCTGAGTAGTGTATTTCAATAGTACAGTTGATCTGACTTAATGCTTTGTGCAGTTTAGTAACCAGTACATGTATTATATTTGCATATAGGCTTTGCTATGGTTTCAAAATTTAATGCAAGCCAGATCCTGCTTACATGTCTATGTACATACTGTACATAGATGTGTTTAGTCTGTTATTATATAGTAAGCTGACTGTATAAGAACTGTATTAAGGGAGTTATTTTTTTGTGTTAAAACTACATTACATGTAGTTGACACAAATATCATTTTTTTAAACATCATAGATTTATCATTCATTCTAATACTGTACACATAAAACATTATTTTACACTCTGTTAGTGTTATATGATTCTATTTCAACAAAGAAGAAGGGGGAAGCATCATGAAGCATCAGATTATGTAGTGCCACATTGGTTTGACATGCATGTGTTCTGTTCGTCAATAAATTGACAACAGTGATCGCTCATGAGAAAACTCCCCCCATTAATGCGATCACCATCATGTGTGCTTGAAGACAAGAAACATTTTATCAGCATACAGGGCAAAATCAATCTCTCATGAAATGCTCACATTATTTAAGTGGCCCATTATAAACCGACTAATGCTTAATGAATTACTGACACGCACTGCTCTGCTACAGCTAATTAAGTCTGCACTAATTTCACACGTTACTCTTAATCATAGATGATAACTCGGGTGAAAAAGGCTTATTGGTAGGCAATAACATGGTAGCCGTGACAGAGAATACATTGCTTGTTGCTTTGAACTGGCTGTAAATGCTTTATTTTTGATAGGAAATTATTTCCTCTTAATATGCTTCACAGCTTTCACTTAACATTTCTGCAAATTGGAACAAAAATTACAGCCATTCCCTAGAGTATCAGAGGGGTCTATCTTCAACTTAATTACCAGATGATCTCTTTGGTATATTTTTAAAAAATATCAAAATTTGAAAGTAACTTATACTATTAAGTTTTGATATCAGTCTGTCATGATGCAAAGGATACTGTAGGTTAAGCTATTGTTTCCATTGTCTTGAAATAGGGGAGATGAAATGTACCTTTTTTGCATTAAAAACTTTCATATGGCTATTTTTAAAAGTATTTTTTTCTTTTCTATTTTTAAAGTAGTTGTCATATGAAAAAAAATCAAGAAGCAAAAATATAACTTTTTCGACAAATTGCATTTATTTTGTAAACTTAAAGGGAAAAGAGATGAAATAGAGTTTCTTATATTTTCTGTTTTCTTGTTATAACAAAACAGGCCAAAAGCCTTTTTAAATTTTTATTAAGCCCAAAACAGCTAAAAGTTACACAGTGTCACACTGTTACATAGTGTATAAACCACAGGTGAAAATGATAGCAACACAAGTGACCATGAAGCGAGATTAATTTAATTCAAACATAGTTGACGTCTCCTGCAGGTTGTGAGAGGAATGATTGATAACATGTATGCATTACCTATAGAAAATTATTTTAGAGGGTAGGAAAATTTCATTTAATTCTGGCTCATATCTCAGTGAGGGTGCCCACTGAAGTTCACAGTCCATGTGACCATCATTAGACAATGTTTACATTCTTCACCAGCAATCATACATAATTCTTCCGAATGTACCCAGTCCACCTCTCTGCTCAGCTGCTTTCAAAGCAATAAAACAACACATTAGGTGATCCGTACAATTTAATGACACTTCAGGTTGGAGGGACCATTGTTACGGGCCCTGAACCAGCTGGTTCATTAACTGATAAAAGGAAAATTAATGCCGCCTACATTATGAAAGCTGGAGCTGATGAATACGGTTAATTACATACTGGCAGCTTGTACCCCTGTATGTTTGTGTGATTTGGTGATTTGAGGTCACGGGAAAGGGATAAAATACATGAAATTATTTTGGCAGATAAAGGATTGGACAGCTAGAATAATAATAATAATAATAATAATAATAATAATAATAATCATCTTTATTGGTCCTAGCATATTTTTTACAAAAAGACTATGACATAACCAATTTGTACAATAGTGACATATTTTACGTAATCTATTATAATGAAATGATCTACATCTTGGACAATTGGAAATTTAAAAAAAGTGTCCATAGATGAAAGTTGTGAAAAATTATTTTACAAAAAAGAAGAAAAATGTATTAATTAGTTAGTTGAAGATCTGATAAGAAAAACAAAGGCTTTTTTGGCTAGACCCCTATCCCCTCTCCCTTCATGGCTATCAATCTCACATTGTGATAATAAGATTAATAATTATTGCCGATACTTGCATGTGGTTACAGTTGCTCTTCTAGCTGATGTCCTTTATGCTGTCTCTGTGGGATTGAAATAGATCTTTTGACAAATGGCCTTCCTGTTATAAAATCTATTTTAATTTTAAATTCACTGAATTTATAACAGATTTACTTTATTAAATCCATGACAGTAAAAATGAAATTGCTTCAGTTGTTTCTATTACACTGTAGCTATTAATGAATATTCAAAATTCGACATTAGGCAAAATGTTGTTTCAATAATCACTTGGGCAAAAGTAAAGGCTATGAGTCATCTTTTTGTGACAGTTTTTCTTGGCACTTATACTTTTCAATCTGACCCCAGATCCCTCAAAGTAAGCCAACCAATTAACCAGTTTCTTCCTACTGTCTGAGGTATTTGCACTTTCTTATAATCCAAAAACCTGTCTGGTAACAGTAATGACAACTGTAGAATCATTGGTTTTATAAAGGTTTAGTGGCCGGTTCTTATTTCTCTTATAGTCACGTGTGCTTGATCTTTTAGGCAGTGTGCCATATCCTTGTGACAGTATGCGGCAAAGTTATTCTCACGACGACCTGAGGTACTCGGAGAGTCTCTACCAAGACAAGCACTGCAGTAGCAAGTATGAAGGTAAAAGCATTTCAAAGCATGCAATCTGTGGTTTACACACAAACACACACACACACACACACGTTCACACACACACACACACACACACACAGGTGCACACATGCTCACATTCGTACACACCCATGCGCACACAGACTTACATATACACATGCAATGGCAAACACATACAGGACACATTCTCGATCTTTACCTGCATACAATATAGATGAAGGTTAATTCTACCCAGGTAGATCTACATCTTGAGAATTATTTTTTCAGTATCATTCTGGTTGCTTAAATTGATTATTTTTGATGCTGAAAGAGAAGTCGAGCACTGACAGCTTTTGAAACAGAACAGCTAGCAGAAAAACTCGATAAATAATCACAACAATAATAAAATAATAGTTACAGGGGTGGATTGAGGTTGTCTTCTTGGTCTTCTGGAAGACGGTCAGATTTTTAAGTTTACATTGAGTTGTATCTAATTTTTTTATGTCAGAAAACAGTCAAAAATTGAGGATGGATCAACAAAGATAATTTGGAAGACTGTCAGAAAATATCTCTGGATCTGCCCCTGAGTTATGCACACTTGTTGAATGAATGCATATGCAAATGATGGCAGTTGTTTCAGGTTTAGCATCCATTGGCACCTCTGTGATAGTGAGAAGCATTAGCAATGGTGGGGAATGGGCATCTTTCACTCATTTCATCATTGTTGAAGTAAAGCACAAAAAAAATTTAAAATCTCTCATTGACACAGAGTGCAATAACATATTGCCCATCGGTTTTAAGATAATCAATCTCAAAGACAAGTACAAGTAGAAGTTCTACCTAATTCATTCAACAGAACGAGGTCTTTGATATTCATTTAGTTTTTCATCCCCTAAGGTACCCAGCCAGATAATCTGATTGCCCTCTCGGTAGTTTAATTTATAGACAGTCACACTGTCTTTCTCTATTCCTCTGTCTATTGTTATTGGTATCATCATTTTCACTTTACCCTCTGTGCATTCGTAACACAGCAAAATACTGCGCAGATATGACATTTAAAGTTGTAAAGGGTGGTAAAGGCATTACCGAAAGCCTCCAAGGAGTAAAGACCATTACACTGGAGCAGTCCTGTGAGTCATTAACCTGGCACACAGCATCCATCATGGCCTCCAATTACTCCTCAGCACTGAAAAGATTAACGCAGGAGTTGTCTAATTTGTACCATTGAGATAATTGATATTAATATACATCATCTTTATTAGCATGGAATTCATGTGTTATGGTTTCTGATATATGCACCGAAACTGTTCATAGGAGTGCCAACACATGGATTTTGTTCTCCATCTTTATCTATAACCTCATTCCCATAGACACCATTGGTCTACGTGGAGCAATCCAACTCTGCGGGGACTCTTGCTGAGTCCAATCAGCTTACCTTAATGACACCAAGGCCTCCTCTTGTTTCAAATGCACCAGAAAGAAACTTTTTTTAATATTAAGCTGCACTGCTATATAGTATGATGTAATGAATTTATGTTTTTAGAATCAAAAATAAAAAACAAACAATAACAAAAAAAATTCCAACTTGTACCCTTATTTCTGTGCACATTTTTAGCAAAATTTTAGGCATTATAAGTAAACCATTTTTTGGGAGGTGAGATATATGTTAAATCAATTTTGTTGATATTTAGAGAGAAATTTAGCATTCAAACCTCGTCCAGTGTAGCATAGATACCTCTGCACTGTTAAACAACAATTGTCTCAGTGTAAAATACAATTTATATGAGAGTGTACAAAAATTAGTAACAATATTAAATTGAAATAAAATTAAGGTCATGGAGGAGATAGCACAAATTTAGATTTCAAAATATAAGATGAGAGGGCAGTTTTGCATACTTTGTATCAGGAATTGCTACTGATAAGTCAATTAGATAGTAGATAAAATAATCAATAAATAATTTCCACCTCTGTCATCAATGATCCCCCTTTTTATTTTTGATCTGCTTTCTGTTTTTGATATGGTTATTATTTGATCTCATTGATATCATTATATAGTATTTATTAAGTTTTATAACTGGCTTTTACATGATTAAAATGTTTTCTGTTTGGCTTTTGCTAAATCTGTATTTTTTATTTGGCCTAAAATTTAAGAAACTTTATCTGTGAAGCATTATTTTCTGTTTTTTAATCTAAATTATAATTGAATTTATCTATATTGTGATTGTAATGTTTTAAAATTAAAACACTTTATTGATTTATTGATGCAAGCACATTTTGATACAATTACTATGATCTGACAAAGGAAATATATGGCAATTATATATTATTGTAATTAACATTTAAACATCTTTAAGGCCTGGGTCGTGCAGACATCTATGGCTACATGGATCGCTACAGAAGAGACGGGCCTCCTCCGTACCAGAGACGAGGTTCCCTACAACTGTGGCAGTTCCTGGTGGCGCTACTAGATGATCCTTCCAATACTCCCTTCATTGCTTGGACAGGACGGGGCCTAGAGTTTAAACTTATTGAACCAGAGGAGGTAATTGAAAAGATCATGAATCCGTCATCCATGTTTGATTACAGTGCTGCAAAATTTTAGTGGTTGTAAATATTCCTCCATTTTTTCTTATTTACAAAAATCACATTGGTATCATTGCATGTTATATTTTACCAGTTCATCTGAGTAATTAGATTGTAGTGAATTGAAGTTATTTTGTTGCGTGTAAAATAGGTTGGTTTTAAGGACATTTTATGTTGCCAGCCTCGCAGAAGATCGCCCCTGCACAGTTTCATTGCACTAACTTAGGTGACTTCCAGCTGGGCTGACAACTGCCTTGCTATATACATACTAATAATGTTGTGTGCAATGATGCAGCACAGATTTTAGGTTACATTGTGTTAGTTGAGATGTTGTGTGGGTCACATCCAAACACAATCAGATACCCCTACAATATGGTTAAAATTTGAATATGGTAATCTTCCCATCACATGGTATATTATTTGATACATTATTTATACTTATTTTTTGTTCAAGCTATAAATTCATTCATTCATTCATTTCTGCTGTGTTTTTTTTTTTTTTTGCAGGTTGCCAGGAGATGGGGAATTCAAAAGAACCGCCCTGCCATGAACTATGACAAATTGAGCCGGTCTCTCAGATATTACTATGAAAAAGGTAAGAGCATAGGCCTTCAGGTTGCTTGTGGCATAATGTATAACTTTTTTTCATAAAATATCAAATAGCAAAGACTCCACAGAAGGATTTTTTCTTTCTAGTATCTGTTTTTTAGATATTTTGATATTTTCTGTCTCTGCAACTGACTGTCTTATTAAAGAGTAAACATGTTAAAATATTTCAACATATTTCCTCCCATTTTCAGAAATATTGAAAATGGCAATTATAATATTTATTTATAGATATTATAACCATGGAAATGTATACAAAACATTTTCTCATGGAAAAATGTAACACAAAGCTTACCTGCTTTCAGGTATAATGCAGAAGGTGGCTGGAGAACGATATGTATATAAATTTGTTTGTGACCCTGATGCACTTTTTACGATGGCATTCCCAGACAATGTGCGCCCTGTTCTTAAAACTGACTATACCAAATCATCTGATCAAACAAAAAAGAGTTCCCAAGGCAGCAACATGACTGAGCAGCCTCTGGCTTTGACGTCACGGAATCAAATTGAAAGAGAAAGGTCAGAGAGCAAACAACTTCATGGGGAGACTATATTACACAATCAGAATCAAGGACAGACTTTGTCACCCCCTTGTGTAAGTTCTTTGAGCTCTCAGAATTCAGAACAGGCTCATCCTGAAAAGATGACAGCAGCATCTGGTGGCAATATTCAAGACTACATGCAAGAGTTGTCCAGAGTATATGGAACACCACAGCAATATATAAATAATTGTGTTTACTAATTAAGTCAAACTAACACAGAGTGTGCAGTTATGTTGCAGGATTGTCAATTTTGAAGAAAAAAAAGAAAATTACAAGTGTTTGGAAAACACATTGGCCACTCATGGGCCAAAATGAGCACTAACTAATACACTGTAAATTGTATATATGGAAACCCAAAGTAGAAAAACCAAAATTTAGTTGGCTTTAATTTGTTGGCACAGCATCTGCGTATCAACCAAGGCAACATTGGGAGATATAGGGCCAATGTTTGCATGCTATCTGGGTTAATTACTGCTCTGGACAGAGGTCACACCACCATCACTAAATATACTGCCCCATCCCAGGGGCAAATTTAGGCTGTCTTCTGGGTCTTCTGGAAGACGGTCAGTTTTCAAGTTTACATTGACAGGTATCTATTTTTTCTGTAGGAAGACGGTCAAAAATGGAGGATGGTAACAAAGATAATTAGGAAGACTGTCAGGAAATATCTCTGGATCCGCCCCTGCACCCCTACCCCCACTAACAATCCCAAACCAATATTAAAGTGACATTTGTTGTTACTCCTGGTGAGGATTTTTTATTGTTATTATTTATTATATATTAGATATAAATTTAGATATTGGAGATTAAAAATAGAAATGTATATAAACTAATTAGGGCTGATCCCAGTGAAACTATTCTTCTATGTAGATTGATCTAACTCCCTGGGGAATCTCACTGAATGCTGTCAGATTAGCAGAAATACATGCCTCCTCAAGCAGCATGGGGGGATTATCTTTTGTGGAAGCTTCTGGAAGCTTTTCCCTTGGTTTTGGGACCGTTCACATGGAAAGTCTATTTTCTAAAAATCTATTTTCTATTTGCAGTATCTTGTGATCATGGAAGTAACTGGCTCGCGCTGCCAGTAATTACTCGGCAGGATATTCAGGGCACAGACCGTGATCACAAGATACCGCAAATAGAAAATAGATTTTTAGAAAATAGACTTTCCATATGAATGGTCCCTTAGAGTCAATGACCAAATGCACATGATGTTCATCACCTCTTAGCTGCTTGAGGTGGTGTGCCATTCAGTTAATCTGATTATATTCACTGAGAGTCCTGGTGGAGTTTGATCGAGATTGTAGAATATTAGTTTCAGTAGGCACTCTCTATCACTGGCTTTTAAATATGTGAATATGGATATGATATAGACCTTGTGAGCCATTTATAAGTATCTCTATTATTTTTATGGAAGCGAAGAAGTCACTGAATAATATGATGAAAGATATATAGAAAATAGTACATATTTGTTAAATTTTTGATCCTTATCGAGTAATATACCGGTTCTAGTAAGTAACTGGTTGCCCGTATTATTATTATTATTATTATCATTATTATTATTTTACATGTGTGAAGAGGACATTAGATTTTTTGTCATATTTTCTTTACTTATGATCATGGTGAGCATTTACTCACTCTCAGTAGTCATTATTACATAGCAATGTCAAACTTCATGTAAAGTGAACGTGTCAAAGCAGATTTAATCACATTTCTCATTGAATTGGTTGCATTTACAGTTATCACATATTATAGTTATTGATCAGAATTACCTGTGGTCATTACAGGCAGTGACTTATTTTGATAAACCAAATGTTTCATGATAAAATTTAGTTAATTATAGGAATGTGAAGATTGATCAGAAAGTCATTGTTTATTATCATAACAAGAAACATTTAGAAGTAAGAAAGCATATTTCATGTAAAATTTAGGGTATTATTAATCATTTGTTAAGACATAAAGTCCATTTGACAAGAATTCTTTTCAGAAATGAACTTGTTGTCAGATCTCATATTTTTCTGTGTATCAAAATCTTATCTAAAAAGTAAATATTTTATTTCACTTCCCCATAATACAGTTTTACATCAGGTCATTTTAACCAAGTGCATTTACAACCAGGTTGGGCAGAGCTTTTTTTGGTGGGAACCTTTCATGTTGTAACTATGTTTAGGGTGCCAATAAGCATATCAAAGGCAGTAAATGGAATCATTGACCACGGTCAGATTAAAACATTATACCAGCTGGATTAATCCCACTCTGCAGGGGACCCTCGCTAAATTGCATTCATTGGAATCAGCTTGCTTGTCTGACGCCCTTCTTGAGAATTTTTGGTAATTTATCAAAGCATTTATTTGTGTCTACTAGTTGTGTTTCATGTCTTTCCAGGTGATAATCTCATATGGTGCTTTCTTTACAACTCGAGAACACTGGTGAACACATTTTGTATTTAGCAGCAGTGCCAACATTGTGCCATTCCCATTTTTGTTGGAATTTTTCTGCCTTTTTAAGTATTCAAGTTTATGTTTAATCTTCCTCAGCTTAATTGTCATGTTACAGCATTTATGTGTACATACACAGGATATCTTTTTAAATGTTGTTTCACTTAAGACTCACTAATCATGCTGTTCATTTGATCCTACAGGTAGATTATATTTATTTGGATTGTAGAATGACGTGTTACATTTTACTGATTATCTGTTCAGTTTGTTAGATGTATAATCTTATTAATTTACTCTCAGTTATTTTCATTTGTATTAGAAAATGTGCAATATTGCTCCATTCCAAATTATACTTTAGTTGACAATCGGCTACTAATACATGTATATATATATATATGGATGTCCCAATGGCATATCCAGGATTCTATTAGTAGATGCATCTATGTCTGTCAATTCATAAAATCTATTTGAACGTGGGTCTGCTCAATACAAACAAAACCTTCAACCTCCAACAGTCAGAGTAAACATCTAGTAACGTATTTTCAGAGATACATTACCAAGCTATGTGACGCTTTCCCAAAATTGCCCTGGGTTCTTTCATGCCATTGCGTTTCCTCAATACTGGTTCATGTCATTTGAATATCTTTAGGTGTCTCTTATGTACAGCCGAGTCACATAAGGCTTCTTTAACCAGGTGTATTTTAGCAAAATTCAAATTATTGAAGATGTTATTCTTTGTTATTGATATACATTTACCATCGACTATGTGATGATGGATAAACAGGAAAAATGTTGGAGATTGAACCTGGGTATATGAAGCATTCCAGTTTTTTTTTTTTTTTTTTTTTTTTTTTTTTTTTTTTTTTTTTTTTTTAGTGAACTGTTCCTTTGATGAAGCATCTGATATTGCAGTAAACTGTTCAATTGGACTGATATGTGTGAGCTCTCAGTCAAATCCTCTCTAACGGAGGAAGTGAAATGGGGTAGGGGTTCAGACTTTGCCTACATGGTCTTTATGGAGAGTCGGCAGCTGTGATCCCCAAACCATACAAACCTCCCCTAACTCTTCTACGTGAACTTTAGCACAAATCGTTGATGTGCTGGATTGGAAGTGAAAATGGGTATGTGACAGACCCTGTATACATACATGATATTTTTCCCAGGTTGATTTTTTTTTGATAAATGCTGTGTCCAAGAGATAAAACTTAAAACGATGTCTAAGGTTCCTTTTGGTGTTCAAAATACACTTTGCTGTGTTCAGAAACTTAGCACCAGTAATTAAACACCTACAAAGTTATCCACTTGATTGAGAGTCAACAAAACTGAATGATAAGTTTGAGGGGGGAAATATGGTGACTTTATAAAAACCAAAAAGAACCAATTAAAACTGAGTGACACACTGGGTCACTGTTTATATTATACTTATCATACAAAATGAAAGTACTGTTTTTGTTGGGTATTTTGCAGACAACAATGCAATATTATTCTTATGTTAATTAAATGTACAACTGTTTATTGTAAAAACTATTTAACATCATGTTGCTTTTTCCATTTTGATGAATGAAATGTGCTAGGTAAGGACGAAATGCCAAGCTGACAAGTGCTCTAGATTTGTTCATTAAACGCTATGAATACAAAGAAAACAGATTGGGGATGTGTTGATTATTTTATTGAGTGAATAACCACATTTTGATTCCTAACACATTGTAATTTGTACGTACAGATTGGAGATGTGTTAATTATTTTTATTGAGTGAATAACCACATTTTGATTCCTAACACATTGTAATTTGTACGTACCGGGGCAGGCTACCTGGAAGGAGCGACTTGGGCAACTTCTCCATCGTTTTCATTGTAAATTTTAATTAAAATTTACTGTGATAAAAAAGAATGTCTTCTCGTGTGTTTATAGATGAATGGGGCATTTTGTTTCCCCATGGCCATCTTCCACCCTGTGGATTTGAAAACAAAGTACAAAGCGTTAACAATAGAGTGATTTATTACATAGCATTTACCCGTACCTGAAGTTTGTTGCACAGTTTTGTGCGTACCGAGTTTTTCTTTAGAAACATGATCTGAGTGAATACGTGAACGTTCGTTAACTACAATTTTTTGCTAAAGAAATACAAATACTGTATTTAATCTCAATGGTTTTAGAGAAATTCAGTTATGAAATTTTAATAAATTTAATCAGTACGATACAGTAAGTACGTGTGCACTGTACAAGGGTTATAAATTAAACTTTGGTGTCTTGTGCGCGAGATGTTGTTTTGTGTTTCTGCACGTGCCATATATACCGCTGGTGTCTAGTAAAAAAGGAACAAAGTTAATTCTTTCGCACGAGGTTTTGTTTTATGAAAGTTAGAGCACATGCCTTAATCTGATGTCAATTTAAAAGATGGAAGAAAGAGGATCCTTGTGCACGAGATGTTGTTTTGTAAGTGATTCTGCACGTGCCACATGCTGATGTCTAGCAAAAAATAAACAAAGCTAATTCTTGTGCAAAAGGTATTATTTAATGAAAGCTGGAACACAGTAATTAGTCTTACGTCAACATAATTAGAAGATGGAAGAAATATGATATTTGGATGTTGGATGTTGTTGAAAGTGCTGGCGTCTAGTTTAAAAAAAGAACAAAGCTAATTCTTGTGCACGAGATACAGGTATTTTGGTTTGCAAATGTCACAGCACGTCCTAGTTTGCTGACAATTTAATAAAAAAAGAACAAAAATTATTGTGCATGAGATATTTTCTTCCTCATGCTTCAGCACGTGCTTTAGTCTGATATTAGTTTAAAAAAAAAAATTAATTAAAAAAGGTTTTGTGCATGAAATATTGTCTTATAAATACTTTGATGGCATTTTTAAAATGTACAAAGAGGATTCTTGTGCACATTTCTAATTATTTCAGGGTCTGATGTCAAGTTAGAATAACACTTATCCACAGAAAGTTCTGCATAAACGCGTTGTTGGTAGCTCTGAAACACTCATGTAATTCCAACAAAAAATCTTTTTTTTAGCAATTCACACACTGCATAAATATAACGAATGAAGACCTGATTTGGATAACATATATTTTATTTTATTGAAGACGAGGAAAACAATAAACAATCAACATGTGGATATCGACTCAGTTCAAATGGAATATCAAAATAGTACAAAATAAAGAATCTTTGTGCTAGGATTATACGAAGCTATAGATATACTATTCTTTAAGAAGGCAGTTGTTGAAGCTGAATGTGCAGTAATTATAACCGCCGTAAACTCTAACTTAAATGCAGAAACATAGTATATTTTTGTACATGGAATGAATAACATTTACTGTCTCTAAAATCAGTCCAAGGAAATATAAGGAGAGGAATAAAAGTCATTTGATAAATTGAGCCAGTTGGCACGCATCGGCAGGAAGACGGAATTGCCATGAGACAAATTGCATAATTCCTTTTTGATTATATTTTGTAAAAAATACATCTCTCTCTCTCTCTCTCTCTCTCTCTCTCTCTCTTCAATTTCACAAGATTCTGAAAATGATCAGGTCCCATATCGCAGAGATTTTAAGAAACAGGCAGCTAATCTCAAGCGTGTAAGAGTTTCACATTATAATATGCAATAACCATTTAAATTAATAAATAATGACTATCTATAAATTTGAAATAACGTATGAGGTAAAAAATTACCCTGTATTTGACAATCCTGTATTAGTATATTTTGTATTTGGCTATCCTGTATTCGATGACCCTTCAATGAGCAATGCTGTATTCGGAGCATTACATTTTGAACATCTAGCATTCAGTAATCCAGTATTCTTAATAATATTATCCTGTATTTAAATGTCTTTGGTTACTTAAAATTTTTGGAACATGATGTCAGCTCTTCACCTGTCAATCAAGACCCCATTCACATAAAGACTGCATTCTCAGAGATTTAGATCGATCCATCTGGCTCGACCTAACTCCCTGGGGGTTCACGCTAATTTGCTGTCAGCCGAGCGCGCACCATACAGCTTTTAGTAGGCGGAACAGACATTTAAGCCTGTTAAGCTGACACCAATCTAGTGAGACTCCCCAGGGAGATAGATCGATCTAAATATCTATGGGAATAGGGTCAAAGGCACAATCGGTCTACGTGGATGGACCCAACTCTTGCGGGGACTCTTGTCTAGTGAAATTAGGTTAATTGAATGACACGCCTCTTCTTGTTCCCTACGCACTCGTATGACCACAAGCTTTTCTCTTCTACCTAACGCTAGCAAGAGGCGTGCTAATCTGCTAAGCTGAGTGCACTCATCGACGCAGAATTGGCATGGGTCGATCCACGTGGACCGATGCATTTATGGGAATAAGAAGATTAGGAGGACATAAAAATTTAATCCTTGCACGGATTTGTCACTGTTCAGGCCTACCCAACTACATAAGGATTCTGAATTAACCGGTATATCGGACCACACTACCCGTTTTCAAGGTGTGTGTCAGATCGCATTTCGGAGTATCATACCCCAGAAGAAATTTTGTAGGACGACCGCAGGCTCATCCTGTCGGTGTTCTGTCTGATACTGCGAAATGCGATCTGACACACACCTTGAAAACGGGTAGTGTGGTCCGATATATACTGGTTAATTCAGGATCCTTATGTGCCGAGTCTGGTAGTTGGGTAGGCCTGCTGTTGCTCATTTCAGTTTCAAGTGAAACGTACCCTCTTACACCTGTATATGTCTTGTTTGCAATCTCTCCTACAGGGTACGTGGCAAGATGAATGTGTACCAAGAAATGAGTCAACACACTTAAAAGTAAGAATATTTTAACATTTTCAACAACCATATCACATTAAAAATAATAATAATAATAATAAATAAACCAATTAAGACACAACGCAACACTTTCTGTTTTTCTCAGTTTCCTGTGGTCTGCGTCTTCTATTGCGTGGCACTCGTACAATGTGGGCGCCGCCTTGCATCAAAGTGTTACTGGAAGCGCAGTTGACACGGCGTTGCCGCAAAACTGAAACCAAAATAATGACGCACACACTTATCATAAAATTGATTCGACAAAGAAACCAACTTATTACAAGCCCAGCAGGTACAAATCATTTGGTCATGTTCTTACTACGTTTAATACAATTATTACATTCATGCAAGAGTGAAGATTAAAGATTAAATAAGCTTAAGAAGAAAAAGGGTCCAGCAAAAAAAAAAAAAAAAAAAAAAAAAAAAAAAAAAGGCGACTAACCGTTCTGCTCGTTGCCATTTTGGTTCAATATTTGTCTGTTTCCTGATGCGTCATCGCCATTCACCGTACATAGTTGTTGGTCGTTGTTGGCCATAGTGAGATGACTGGAATCGGATTCAGCACTAACCAGGGCACCCTCCATGTTTCGTAGCTTACCAGTTGGCATCGGCACCTTATCTGCGGAAGTGTACAACAAAGTTATTATATAGATACATATATATGATGAATTAATGAGTAATTATAAATCAATGACCGTTGAAGTGTCATGCAACACATTGTTCTAAAATGAGATATGTCAAAGGATTCGCTCTTGCCAATCTTAAATTGACACTTACAATGATGTATCTTAAACATGTAAAAAGGAAAATAATTTTTTAATCTATCCGCCGTCCAATAACACGTTTAATTGAATTAATGTGAATTAAATTAATGTTTAATTTGAATTAAACCTTGGGTGCCCTTACGAATCCTCTTCTTGACATTTAGCTGGGTTGGACGTCTTCTGTTTTCAGATGTGGAACAGTCATTGATTACACAGTTCTGGGGCTCTCCAGAAGGAACTTGGTGTTGACACGGTTGAGTTTCAGTGTTGACCATTGGTTTCTCTGGTTCTACCAGGTCACCTCCTCGTCTAGCAACATCCTCTACAAAACCATATGACCACAGTTTACATAGTTTACGTCTGAATTATAATTATATTATAAATCCGTTACCTACTGGTAGGTTATACTACCCCAAAGAAATTAGATAAATGTCATTGTAAACATGTTGACAGAAATGTAAAAGTAGCAAAACAAGGGCAATCGGATTAGTCAACCAAAAGTGGTGCTTGTGTGGGCGTAGACTGAGAACTTATTATACATTTTTTTTGGGGGGGAGGGGGGGTTAAAGGCCTACAAGACAGCAGATTACATGTAGTTGTACTACCTATGGCAATCACCTTGGGGCCGGTTGAACTTGAAGGAAAAGAAAGAGACATCTGCACATGGAAAAAGCTTTTAATCAATGACAACCCCCAAAATTCAGAAAGCTTGGAGGGGGGGGGGGTGGCTTTTTGAAATTCTCATCCGTTTACAACTTTTGCCATAATTTTAACCATTATTTTTGATAAAATAATTGACTCATTTTATGTTCAGTTCAACTCAAAGTCCGAACACTTATAAAAACTTTGAACTTATAAGGAATGTCAACAAGGGACTTGCGTTTACTTAAAGACAGGAAGTACCTCTAAGCTTTTGTGCAACGTGTCTCTGGCGTCGGTCTACTTCTTCTATGAAAGCAGGGAATGCCCGACACCCAAGGTTTGGAAGCATAGCGAGGAACTTCATTTTTCTCTCGGAGTCTCCTCGACAAATTTTGATCTCGTCCACGAGGGCTTGACTAATAACTCGCTTTTGCAGCAGCCCGGGGAAGAGAAGCTCTACTGACATCAGTTCTTTGTAGAGGTAGGCGAGATTGTGGTGGATGACATCTCGGTGAAGTGGTTCCATGGGCTCGTCTGAAGTGGATGGAATGCATTGTTTAGATAAGTACCTGTACGTGCACTATTGGGCATTTGCCTTTATCGCTACGTATATTTACAGCGATGTCTTCTATATAAGGAAAATAATTTTACATGTACTGGTCGTCCACTAACATGTTAAGCAATTTGCATTATACCTTGGGTGTACCTCTGTGCGTATTGCAATGTAGGCATGTTTATTTTCCCTTTAAATCAAACCCACGCCAAAAATAATATTATTTTGCGTATGGTAACCATTATTTTTAACAGACTACTAGCAAACTGACTATAAAGTAAATATTAATGTGTCAGTTCACTATATTTTACTCAATTAAAATCTTAGGGTTTTACATGTACGTAAGTCTTTTAAGGACATTGTTACTTTAAAATGCCCAGAATAAGTCTACGTGTATAGAGTTGCTTCTCAGCCCCTCCCCCCCCCCCCCCCCCCCCAAATAAAAAAAAGGAAAAAATACCTTGGACATAAAAAGCTCCAATCTCATGCACGGCCCTTTCAAGATCGTCTCTAGACGGTGTCTTTGAAGTCTTAACCCAATGTTCTAGTACACACCAAACAAGCTCACTGCTGCCAAATTTCCCATAAATGACTTCAAGTCTGTCCAGGTATTCTCCGTGCATACCGAGACGTCTCGCAAGATGTCGCCACTGAGAACCTGTGGTGAAAAACGGAAATGCATGCCAAAGATATTTATTGATTAAAATGGGTTTTAAACTCTGAGCATAAAAAGCGATGGTGCTCTTTACAAGAATTGCAGTCTAAAGTTATAATTATTATAGAAGAAAGAAAAAAAGCATATATACACCCACTTATTGCAGCACAGCAAGCTAATGAATAATTGACGCAAGATAATCACGGGGCGACTTATTTTAATGCCCAGTGTGGCGTGCACCTAATCCCCATGACTCATTACACTGTAAGAAAATGCAATTATTTTTGTAACCCCGAACTGTAATTATTCAACGCACCAACTCCTCTCCCGTGATGATAAACAAATTTCGATGTTTTCCCCATTTTTGTAACTGTTGGAGTATAATTTTAATAAGACAGAGGCAAATTCCATAAGGACTATAATTAAAACAGAAAACGCTTGCGATGGTCTGTGAAAAAAGTACCTGAGCGTTGTCGTTATTAATAACCTACCTAGGCTATCGGCTAATCGGGAGCAAAAGCCTTCAAGTCCAGGGTCAGCTTTAAAGACGGCTTGCACGTCAGCTACATCTGGAACGTCTGAGACGAGATGGAAATAATAAAACCTATGCTTTCTTATTTTTCTGTTTACATGGTACACTTTTATTGAGGCTTACATATGACGAGATTCCCTCTCTTATCACACACGCACGCACACACACACACACACACACACACACACACACACACACACACGGACGTAGGCTGTATCACGTGCACACGTGTATGCGCACCTTTCTTCCCTGCAAGTCAAATAAAGCTAAAACTATGAATTACACATACTTGCACATCCAGAATCTACAGCACCCCTCTCCACCCCGACGGCTTCAGCGGCCTGGATGATCTGCTGACTAGAGACATTTTGAGTTGTCCTGGACCAGTGCTTTAATACTTGAAACAGGAGCATTTCGTAACCAAATTTCTGTGGGTCGTGCCTAGCCCCTAAGCCATTTATTGCGTCCTCCGTAAGACCAAGGGCTAGAGAAAATGAACGCCATTTCTCATCTGTAGAATAAAAGAGAGCACGAATATAATGGATAATATCAAGTACATACATGTAAATACTACTTGACAATGAACACCAGAACCGGTGTTCCTCTATCTCGAGAATTAGGGACATTTATCATGCAGTATGAGTAATCACTTGAAATCAGTACAGCAAACTCATAGTTACATAGAATAAATTTATATTAATGATAAAGCATTATTTACTGTCACCTATGAACAATTTTAATTTGTCGGCAGATTTGGAAATTCGCACTTATAGATATAATATCATCATTCATGTACAGTGTATTATCCAAATATATATATCTTGTGGCATTGTGGTTGGTGAAAAACGTTATATACTACTATTAACGAAGTTGGGGTTTCAGACAATCATTTAACTAGTATGGTACAATTAGTATAATCAACTATCTTTGCAACAACAAAATACCACACTTACTAGGCCCTACTGCAGTTAAAATATAATTGATATAGATACCTAATTTGGGCGCATAGAGTTTGCTGAACGTTTTTAATTCAGTGTCTGTAACCCCATAGTTGGGACCAGCTTCTTTCTTTTGGAGAGCTTCGTTGATTTCTCTTTTCAGCGTGTCGATGACATTTTGTCCATTTCGATGGATTTCATTTATGATTTCAGACGTGGTGTCTGGGGACACTGTTCTTAGGCTTAGGCATTTGTCAAAGGATTCAGTCATTTTTTGGGATACCTTGAACAAAATTAAATTACAGACAAAGGAATCACACACAACTTTACAAACAACTAAATATTTATCGAAAGCAAAATATCAAAAGGTCGAGGAAGTCATGAGCAATATAGGCTACTGTATACTGATAAAGAGACGAATGAAAATTCAAAACGATGAAATGAAGGCAGACATGCAGACAGAGAAAAAAATAGATATACAAAGTAATTTTAAGAGTAAAATTAAAATCACAAAACAAATCGTATACAAAAAGTATCACTGGTGGTATAGGATAGGCATACTCGTACATATATTACAGTAGAGGCTCATTGCAGCAAATGCAACAGGTGTGACGATATCTCTTATTGTGTTGACACGTACGTGATACTATTTCAAAGGGGAACCCCCTTTTCACATACAAGCTGCCCGTTGTCTAAAAATAACAATGACGACATTCAGTCATGTAGGGCATTTTTTAATTTTGAAAGTAGACCATTTTGAGCGTTTTGACACAATTCAATGACATGTTTGTCGCCGTTCTTTTGTTCTGAAGAATAAAGCCTAAATGTACAGTATACCTTGTATGAAGGTCGCACAGAACATGGTCTACGATAATTCCCTGCATAGAATAATCTGACCATACTGAGCCTGCTGCAAAGGCACTGCATGTTTACACGGTAGCAATACTAAACATTTTACTTACATTGTCATTTGACGCCTGTAGGTGAAATATAGTTTTAGTTGCTGCTTTATAACTTTGGCAAACATCTTCATGTTGTCTTCTCATAGTCTCTTCTCTCCTTCGCAATTTTCTAATTTCGCAGTTTGCTTCTTCTAGACGTATCTTCAGGTCATCTATTTCGTTCCGGTATCTTTCACTTCGTCTTAAACTGCTGTACGAAAACTTTTTCTGAAAAACTTCATCTGCCTCGCTGTCGCTGTCGTTTTCGAAATGATCCTGTTTTGCTCTATCTGTCAACAACCTTGTTGCTTTATCCTGTATTTCGTTTGCTTCTGTTCGTTTCAAGTAGTCGATGGAAACGGGTGGATGCCCAGTAGCGATATTGCTGCACCCTTCAGCCATTTTCATATGATTTCGTTCTCAAAACATTCCCAATAATAACGGTGACAAACAGCTAGGCATTTCCTCCTTGCATCAGATTTACCCACTGTGCTAACCCAGTTTCAAATACGCTTTATACAGTTCACTCAAAAAATCGATAATGTTGTGTGACGTATAAATAAACAAACTCTCTAGCGCGCCAAACCGACACACACCTGTGGGAATGCGTTTGTTGTTACATTATATCAACTCTATCATTGTGCTATTGGTATTGTATGTTGTGCAAAACGCCTGTTGTGAACTTCACCGTACTGAAAAGCTCAACTTATGAAATTTATCAACGAAAAAAAAAAATATTTTGTCATTTGTCACTACTGGCTTATCTGGTTGAGCGCTTACTCTATTGATAGTCGTTTTCAGAATGTAAAAAAATGTGAAGCTTGCTTAGTATAACGGAGACGGAAAAATTTCTACATCGCGCAAGAGTCACTTATTTATGAAAATTATCATGTCAGCATATACATCTATATATATATATTGTCAATTCCGAAAATGAGTGCAAACAATTGTGGATTTGCATGGACGTACAATAATGTACGTCAATTGATTTACGTGTATTATTCTAATTAAAATTTGACAGCTGTAGTTAAATACAGAATATATTATTTGAGCAAAAAAAGGTTTGATGATTGCATCCACCTAAATCGTAAGTTAGAATATTCAGAGAGCTGACAGCGCTGACCACAGTTGCGAAACACACAAAAAATACCCAGTGTTGCGCTCAGTGATCTCAAAGTATAAGAGTTAAACAAAAAAGGTCCTCATTTGGTATTTCAGATTTTCTATGAATGGATTTCTTGAGAAAAATAACAAGAGTGAGCAATTTTAAAGAAGCATCGGTTTATTTTTCTTGACTGATAGGTTATATTATGGACCAGCACTGACAAATAGGTTCTAATAATGCTCTAATAATGCTGACAATGAGTATGTCATTGTTAATGGGCAATGCCTTTTAGCAGGGAACTCTTTGTATACGTACCTTTTTTAAATTGTCATTTCAAGTCCCACAGTCAGTTCCCATGTTGGCCACTCTGTTTGATCTTCACTTTCCAGAGTTTGTTGCAAACAATCGTTCGGCGGTATTTATTTTCCATATATTTTGAACCTTATATTTAGAACACTGCGGACACCCAATGACCCATTTGCTTCTCATTCGATCTAAAAGCGCCAAGCTACAACATGTATCGTAGCATTGCCCTGAGAAGCAGAATTATGGTCTAGCAACTTCCACACATTTTTCATTAAAGTGAATAGATTTTAGGATTTTCACATGTCACAACATAACGATACACAACTACATTTAGTTCAGATTAATTACTTTTCTCACGGAATCTCTGTCGAGTAAAACAGAAGCTTTGGGTAATTATATCCTACAATTTTAGAAGAAACGGTAAATTTCAACTGATCCGAGTCATTTCTTAGGCTGCCTAATTGAAGTAGCCTGTTAGTGTTTCCACTGCAATAGAGAGTGATATTTACCCATTTGTCAATCGCAAATAATGTTATCATAAAAAAAACGCATTACTTCTTCACAGCAAATTGTATGAAACTTTTTTGACATCATTAAAGTCAACCTCTCATTTGCCAAGGTTCAGTTCACATGATAACGCAGTCTTTTCTTTTAGGAATAGCCCCGTTTTTCAACATGCTTATCTTCTCTTTCTGAATAGTAATAAGCTTTTGTTCTATCTTCCGTGCTTCTTCGGCCTCCTTCGAGAGCCATTGGCACTGTTCCGAGGGGTTGGTAGCAGCGGCCTCTTTTTTCATTATTTCTTCCAAGTCCTATAAAGAAAGTTTAACATGTACTTTTGTACGTATATCATTATCTTAGGTAAACGTGATTTTGTTTTTTATTTTTTTATTCTTAGATAATTTATTCAGCAATTGCAAGGTACATTTCAATATTAATCATAGGCGTTTATAAATTAAAAATTGCTTATCATGCCATACTGTATATGAATATTAAAATTAGTCCCTGTTGGCAACTGAAAAAATAATAATAAATAAACTCGACCAGCAGTTTTGTGAGATACCACATTTGATAGGCAAACGCTACACTTTTTGAAAGGACTGCAAATCATTTCTTTATTCCGATTTTGCGATAGTTTTCCTCGTTTACTACTTTATGAATAATATATCCTGATAATCAAGCATTGTTTCTTACCCTAGCTTGTTTCAGCATTCCAGCTTTCATAAACTGCTTAGTTTTGTTCCTATCTCTCTGCTCTCGGATGTCCGGACCTTCTTTTATCTAAAGAGATAATCAGTGGTATAAGAAACACCTACATGTATTATTCAACCCCCTCACCAGCCGCCCCCCCCCCCCCAGCCTCACCCCTTTTCTCGCTTTCTGAAATATTTGTAATTTCGTTTTTCTTGGAAACATTTTTGACAATTCACTGTTACGCAAAGAGCATATATTGTTAAATATGAGTATAATGCGCTCACAGCATAAATATTCTCAATGTCACGTCTTAAATAGAATAATCGTCTCTTGATGTCTATGAAAATCAATCTATTAGCAGCTTTACATGTGCTACTCTGGCCGAGGAAGGTTTCTTGTCGTCGATAAAGAAACAAAAGATAAAAAAGGAACAATAACATAAATCCTTTCAATCCAAAAGGAATATAACAAGAAACCCGACACGAAAAAATGAAATAGTTAGTCTAAATAAATGCGAAGATATTACTTGTAATTGGTCACGTTTTACAGCGTCATTTAAGCTGCAATCCAAAACTCAAACTATTTACCATTTGTGTCAGCTTGTTATAGTATTTCCCAGTGAGTTCTACCACCCGCTCTTTCTCCCACTTAATTCGGTCCATGTGTTCCGCGATCTCGTGAACCTTTTGGCGAGACTGTTCGTTCTTTAGGTGCTCATCCTCCTGCTCTATGTGCCCCCTTATTACTGCCTCTCTGAACAACTTCATTGCCTGAAATACACAATTATAATGCAAACAAATACGTGTATCAACTTCAATTGAAGCTTTGTGACTCGAAACTCGTTTATTCGCGCGTAACGGCCCGGTTGGAAATGGTAATCGTTATTCGTTTTCACTGACAGTATAATTTGCATGTGGTGCAGTGAATACCATAACGTTATGCTCACAAATAGATGTTAAACTGATAGATTTTCAACAGCCTTTGAACATCCAATACAACTGTAATGCATTTTGTTTAAAGAGACCAATTCACGCTGTACAGAAGAATGCCATGAAACCCTATGTAAAACGGAAACTATCTGGCAGGTCAACAACTATTAGACGAACTGGAGGAAAAGATCTGTCATCAAATGTTATCTTTTGTTTGTACCTTTAGTTTATCAATGAATTCCTCCATTTCCGCCGATTGCAGCTTATTTCTGAGCACCTCGTACTTGGCTGGTCCTCTGGCCTTGGATATGTAGTCCTTTCTGGCGCCATCTAGCTTTTTACACAGTTTCTCCATGGAATAATCGTACAGATATTTCATGGCGTCATCACGAACTTCTTTGAAGAGCTTTTCCGCGATCTTCTCGCAGAAGCGTTGTGATGATTCGAGATTTTGTTTTCGGAACTTGAGCAGTTCCCCTCCAACCAAGAGAGGACCGCTGTGTCTTACGGGCTTTCCGTCGCGGTCCTTTGACATGAGTGTTTCATCCTCTAGTTTGACTACAATTTAGATAATGATTGAAAATGTGAAGCCATGATATTAGCTTCTGATTGAAATGTTTACAATTTCTTTCATTTTCGACAGAAATGGAAAAAAAGGAATTCGGAAATTTTACAGCCATTTTACAGCTCTGACAGACTTACCACTATCCATTTTGTCGTTATCACTTTATGTAAGGGAGTATGTATGGATTATCTCAATAAATCAAGTTTACAAAACCTTTACAAAGGATGCACATATTGGCAACGAATACCGTTAATCATCGTAAGAACAATTTGTTTAAATAGGATCGTCGACTACATGTACTTACCAAGCTTGTCTAACATCTTTGGGACTGTCGCAATGTATTCTGTCCTGTCTCTCTCCTCTAGGCATCCAAACCCTGCCATTCTTCGATACATTTCTTTCAAGGCCTTGTCCACGGCCTGTCTGTGCAATTCCATCAGAGTGTCCCTGCAATATAAGTAAGACATATAAATAATCTCTTGCCATGGATGTTAAAATGTTTTTCTGATTCAATTAGCGAACCTTTTTTTTGTGCAAACCGTGCCATACATTATTATGGAATATTAACATTGTAATTTTGAGATGTTTAAATGGTTTGAGAATGGCAGATTAGGCATTACCGTTTTTTATCTTCATCAGAGAACTCTTCTAGGGGAGATTCTTTCCCTTTCTTCTTGCTTGCCGCCTCATACAGTGTCTAGATTCAAAATAACACACGCTAGTATATAGTTATTTACTAACTACTTCAACACAAAAGAAAAGTCAATATAAAAAATCAAGCAGATTTCCAATGTCCCCAAATTAAACTTGAAATATTTTTCTTCATTTTTAGCATATCACACTTCAACTAGAAAAGTAAAGAAATTGTGGATTCCCTGGTACTCCAAGCTGCGTGCATTTCTCTTAGTGCTATAGACATACGATAGGTCAGCCAATCCATATTCCAATTACCAAGCCATCTTACATTTATAGTGTTTTTTAAATAGTATTTACCTGCATTTTTTCATTGTAGAAGGCTACGATGTTATCCACTATCTTCAGTTTCATCATAATCATGGTAAGTGACCAGGCGGATGACAGACTGGGGACATTTTTCGGGTGGTTAACACTGTCCAAATAGACGCGAAACAGTTCTATGAGATGTCGGCCTGGAATAAAATCAAAATAAACCCAAATGTATGTGTTTTGTTGATTCAGTCATGTAAGTTTTCGCTGTATTAAAAATGCACTTTAAACTGCTGACCGAAAGCAATGAGGAGCAACTGAACCGATCTGGAACAGTTTGCAGACCAGACGATGAACTAGTGGAGGTAATATAGCGAATAGTACACTGTCTCACCAGAAAGGGCAGAACCATCCGTAAATCCATATATAGGTCGAATTTTCTGTGCCATGACATCCAGAAACTTATCCAATTCTTTGGTAAACTTGGGGCTGATTTTGTCGGCATGTTTAGCGATATTCTCCACCACGTCTTCTGGGCCTGGGCAAGGAAGGCAGAAAGCATCCACAGAGCAGAACGCTGAGACCAGGGCCTCGGCTGTCCTGTCTTCTTCGGTCAGCTCGTCCTCCGCCGTGTCACGACCACACACCTACAGGTAAGACGATTCACGATCAATAATTTGAAAGCTTATATGTCTTCAATCAGGTATTTTTTTAAAAAATCAAGCAGTTTTTTGAATGGGGGGATACAAAGTTATGTCACTTTAACTTGGAATCAGACGGCCCGAAACGGCCTTAGTCTCTCTCTATTTATTGCACTTTAAAACTAAAATCAAGTGAAATAGCACAAAACAGAATGGAATTACATACATCAATATAGATATATAACAGAAATACATGTTTAAAAACTCACACACACAATACTCACGTACATACCCGCACGCACTCGAACACGTGTATATACCGTGGCACACACTCGTTAGCTAAGACCCATACAAAGGAAAACATATGCGAATCTTGTTACCCCTTACACCAGATCGAACCACATACTTACCACTCTTAAGATATAATCGCTTGCTGATAACTCCTCCTTTGTTGACGGTAAAATCAACTTTTTATCGACGTCGCGGCACAGCCAAATGAAATCAGGCATGTGAGAACGGAACTCTTTCAAATCGGCGACGACCTGCCCCTCTTGTATGCTAAGATTCTTTGCAAGCGTTGTAAGAAATCTGGAAAATAAGAAAAGTAGACGTGAGTGTATATATATATATATAAATATATATATATAGTCGAAAAGTCCCTTCAATTTCCTCAATACATGAATGTACATTTAGCAGTGGTTATTCAAACGCACTTATCAGCGCTAAAAAGCAAGTAGGAGATTAGTATATTCATTTCATGTTTTTCACATTTAGATTTATTTTACATTTTAAAAGATCTGCTTTCGTGACTAAGGATTTTTACATTTAGCACGAGTCATAGAACATTGTGGTGATTACAGAGAAAAGACAGAAACCGTAATATAACTAACGACAAAAGACGAAGATTTTATTTGGATCGTGCAATTTTCATCCGGGTGAAAATTTGCTCTACGAGACTCTGCGAAAAATATATAGCATTTATGTCTTCTCCATCCCAGTGTACCACAAACTTTCATGGTCCAATTCACAACAAGAAGAAGGCAACAAAGAATATCTATTGTTCGAGATTTGGCCAAACAAGGCCGCTTTTCGTTTTTAGCCCGATTTTGGCTAACAGGGCACAGATATTAGTATACAACCTCAATAATAACACCTAACTAGAAAAGCACTCCGAGAGCGCAGACCTCCGCCAAGGCAGCGATTTTTGATTATTATTGATTGTTGATTGATTATTGATCCGGATTACCACCAAAAACTAATCATCTCTTCCTTGGCCCACTTCTGACAGTTCCTGAAAATTTCATCAAAATCGGTCCATAACTTTTTGAGTTATGTTGATGACAGACAGACAGACAGACAGACAAACAAACAGACAAACAGGGGTGAAAACATAACCTCCTTGGCGGAGGTAATTAACCTATTTGCACTTGTCCAAGCTGGGACGTAGTGTGTTTACCAGTAAAAAATACCCCCACTACCAATAAAGGCGTAGATCAGAGATTAGAACTCTAACAATATAATACAAGTAAATCTAAACACATGTAAATTCGCAGGCAGTAATATCCTCTCATCTTCCACAAGAACGCGTCCCTGTCAATTTATTGGAAAATTTAAATTGAAAAACAAGAACTTACTTCAGTTTGTTCAGATCCGTTTTCGATGGGACTCCCAGGGTGTTATAGACGACGACAGAGCTGATCAACAGGGTGGATAACAGTAGCCCAGCATCGTCTTCAAAATCTAGAAAATACCATTATTTATCTCACATAAAGATTGCAGTTGTAAGTAACAACAGGTATACCTGTCACACTTTGGAATTTTGTTATCTGTCGCTGACAAATCAAGTTATTCCAGACAAACCAAACTTTTTAAATTAATTAGATTTGACAAAATGGTGTTGTTAAGAAAGGTCAAAAATCGATACAATCTATAGCATGCAGATTTAACATTTTATAGTAATATTTATGCGGTTTTTACAGTCAACGAGGCGGTAGTACAGTATATGCGTATCTGTTACTTGATATCATGCATTCAAAGGGATTTTCTAGCCCACAATTGATTTTCTAACTCAGGCCTGTTGAAACCCGAATGTTTTTAACTCTTGTAATTTAGATTAAGCCCAGTCATGTATTTAACGATGAAATGAAAAGGGGAAGCAGCATGCATGTCTATATACCGGTAGCAACAAGATATACGGCAGATATGGGATATAAAAAATCCCTTGCCTTAAGTATCAAACTTTAAAAAAGGCAATCATTGAATATAAGTTTGCACGCAGCGCCCAATAGTTATAGTAGTAAGAAGTCCCAATCATACGTCTTACTGAAATAGTGCAGTACTACACACCTGCACATATACATGCAAATCACATTTGCTTAAGAACGATCGAAATGCGCCTTACTAATCCCAATGCGCAGTACAGGCATTAGGATAAAGAACTGCATGGATAGCATCCTCACCCGAGGCATCAAAACATTAAAGGTGACAACAGTTTCCATGCTAACTGCTGATTATAGAAATTTACTTTTTCATTTTTAAGTTCATAACACATTTTATATTTTTTGTGGATATCGATTTACATGTACCTTGTGGACACATTTGTGAGTCAGGTTTCTGCATTTATAATCTACCTTAATTTTGGCATGTTTACAAGTCTTTTGAAGTTATGAAATAAATGCCCCCCCTACTCCCCCCCCCCAAAAAAAAAAAATTAAAAAAAAGAAATTTATTTTAAAGTGGAAAAGAAATTCTGGCAGTCATTTTATGGCTTTTACCTACCTTTTAGAAAATAAAATAAATATGGTCTTAAACGACAGAGTACAGCTGCGCGGTACAGGTAAATTTATGCCTGATAGGTCACAAAATTCCACAAAATGCTTTTTTTTTTTTACGAAACCTCACTGGCAGACTATTCCTTTAGATCAATCGCATCAACACACATGCATGAGTGCACGCAAACACACGCACACACAAATGGGATGAATAAACAAACAAACAAAAAATAAATCAAGAATTAATCGATACAAGATACACTGTCCCCCCCCCCCCTGCACACACACAAGACACTACCTAAATTGACATGCAGAAAAACAACTGTGACGTCATCACTCTTAAGAACGCTGGTGCCTAGCCATGCTCCACAAGGTTTGGTTGTCTGAACCATGAACTCAGCAGACACAGTAAACGCTTTGGAAGAGCCAAGAAGTCTGTGGATATAAAATATATTAAGTTTCGAGACAATTTGTTTTTAAATTAAGATTAAAAGTTATGGTTTTACGTGTGTGTGTGTGTGTGTGTGTGTGCGTGTGTGTGTGTGTGTGTGTGTGTGTGCGAGAAAGAGAGAGAGAGAGAGAGAGAGAGAGTCTAAAATTTGCATCGTGTGTTAATAAATTGACATACAATATGAACAGCTCAACGCCGTGCTCAAACGCGACTTTTCATAAACATGAAAATATGACGCGCTTATCATATTCCTTGCAAAATTCATCACCCACGATATATCATTTTACACTATAGTATAATTTTACCACAAGACAATTTCGCTCGACTGTTGTTGGAGATGTGAGAAACGACAGACGGCACAGTCAGTCCGCATCTAGTGATTGCAAAGATAGGAGGCATCCCCTCGAAGGCAACAGTTGGACTATGTCCATGGCTTACCCCCCTTCGAACACCTTTTCTGGTGGCTGATCAGGCCAATCCCAGACTGCAGTTCTCACAGGTACATGTATATATTGCTGATGGGACTGCTCGAGTTCCTGCCCTCCTCTTCGCCCATGTTGCTTCAAATTCAGCATTCAGCTTGTCCGCAAACAATTCTCCTTTTTTTTCGTTTTTCAGAATTCCACTAGGATCAACCTTATCATTTAATATATTTGAGGAAATTCCAGAAAACGCACTGCTTCACTTACTATGACCATGTTGTGAAGAGTGTGACAAATAAATAAATAAATAAATAAATAACGGGATTAAAACAGAATAAAACAAAAGTTCACGTTTTTGTGATTCACTTACCTGGACACTACATACGCCTTTCCTGTCATGGGTTCCCCACAGACGGCCATCACACAGACTGGGCCCTCTATACCACCTATCAACTCTGCCGCTTTTTCGATCAGATTTAACTGTCGTCTTCTCTCCCCAACCACGTCCAGGACCGACCCTTTCTCGGGGTTGTACAGGAAATCGTTGGGTAAAATCAACGGAATGGACAACTGCGGACAGTCCTTCGTGAAGGGCTCCACTCGGAATCCTCGTTTTCGCAGCTCCGAACTGGCCATCTGGGCGACGATTTGCCTGCGATTTACCCCGTATTTTACTTATCAGATGGCACGGTAATTTTCACTTATTTTTGGAATTTGATATAGACTTACTTCATCCAAAGTTGAATAATGTGGAATATCAAGCAGTCTCCATAACTCGCTATTATACGGGCAAACAGACGTAGTCCAACTTTCCCCCCAGCCTGCTAAAATAGATCTACACAGGTGGCTGTAGGGTCTAATCAGGCGACGTCCACTCATCAAAGCACTATATTGATTATGCAATCTTAAATCTCCTTTGTTTGCACCGGGGAATCGAAATCGAGGAAATCGATATCTATATGATTGATCGGTTATTCTTTGAAGATCAGCTGAGGCTTGGGCTTAGAAGTATTGGGCGATAAAGGGCATTGTTTTGCAGTGTATCGAATTCCAATTAACAAGTGTTTGAACAGAATCACAGCCTGTGATTTTGATGTTAAATATCTTAATATTTGCAGATGCAGGGTTTTGCTCTCTCTCTCTCTCTCTCTCTCTCTCTCTCTGCGTGCGTGTGCGTATGTGTGTGTGTGAAGATATGTGCTTTGTTACCATTCAATTACAATGATGATCAACGTTTTGCCTTTTAAAATAATTTCAATGTTAAATATTTATTTGTGTATTTATTTATTAATCTATTCATTTATTCTATTCATTCTTACTTCGAAAGACGTGCCTTCTGAGGGCACACGTGTTAACGCAACGTGCTGTAAAGCAACCCGATGCGGTCCTTATCAAGATGGAGAGATAGGCCTACGAAGTTTCTTTTCAATCTTGTTTACATTAAAATACAGTTAGTTTCAGCACATCTCTCCAACAAGCAAAGATGATATGATATGGGCGAACCTAAAAGAACGAAGGCTATTTTTGTGTGAAATAGCCAGTTTTTCCAGAAATTAGCATACAAATAATTACGCACCTTACGTATATGATATAAAACTGAAATGCAAATTTGCGTTCGGACACTAATATTATTGTAATAGTGATCGTTTAGTCTGTATCAAAAGATCATAACAATGCTCGAATGCATGATCAAAATCCGTTTTAATTAATTTTAGCACCACTTAACCCTGATTTTATTGTCTTTTAACTTTGTAGGGCACATGATGAAAAATATCCACCTTACTTCGGAAATTCATTTGCTTATGAGAAACAAACCGCAACATGCATTTTTTTAGCAAATCACCCCCTCATTCCCCTCCCCCCCTCTCTCTCTCCCTCTCTCTCTCTCTGTCTCTCTCTCTCTCTCTCTCTGTCCATATGTGTATGTGTGCGAACGAGCGCGTATGTATGTATGCGTGCTTTGTGACAATGATACTTAACGTGTTGATGTATATTATTAATCCATATGTTAATTAATTTTATGTGTATTTATTTATTTTTTTATATTTATCTGTTCAATACTCTCAAATCGAAAGACGTGTGTCCTTGTAATTTTGAAAAGGCACGTGTCTATGCAACGTGCTGCAGGAACCAGACACTGTGCTTATCAAGATGGACAGATGCAAAGTTTCTTTTCATCCTTGTTTACGTAAATAATTCAAATAGTTGGAGCATAAGCAAAGATTAAACCGTTTCTCATGATTTCAGTTTATCTTTGCTAAAAATATAGACAGTGACTTGCACATTCTCAGCTAAACAAAGAGGTCAGTTCTTCTAGAAGTTTCTCCTGAGGTATGGCCGTATTGAAAAGAACCAAGACTATTTATGTGTTAAAATACGAAATTTGCTATAAATTAGCTTTCACAAAATCATGCATCTTACGTACCGGTAAATGTCCGGACACTTTTAATGTCGAAATATTGTAATGAAAATCGCTTAGCCTGTATCAAAAGATCATAAATTAAATGTGTTCGAATGAGTGATCAAAATTATTTTTAATGAATTTTAGCACCATTAATCCCATATTGTACTTTCATATTGAAGGTCGAGAATAAATGCTTAAGTAAGCGCTAGCTCGACCCTTTTCTGCCGATAAATTTATATTGTTTTGTTTTACGTCAGTTTTTTAAATAAATCATTCAATAAAAGTTTCGGATCTAGTTTGTGTTATCCAAGATTTTGCACAAGCAATGGTCTTTAAGAAAGGTATCATCGATGCAGCATAACTGGAGCATAAAAAGCATTTTTTTGCCGCTTTCTTTGTTTTTTAGGATTAGCTTTAAAACATATGTGCCAAAATTTCTAAATAATAACCATTTATTTATTTGAAATTACAGCATGGGGTTTCTATGATTGTTAGGCAGACATACTTTGTTTTGTGCAGATTACATATTCATTTTATTTATTCATTTTCTTTTTTACTGTAAACTCTAAATAATAATAATAATAATAATAATAATAATAATAATAATAATAAGCATCTAAAGATGAGCAGCTCTAAGTAAAAAAACGTTTTGTTTTGGATAAGCGAGAGTGAGGACTGCGATGTGCTCCTAAATACATATTTATTCAAGTACTCAAATGGGAGACCAGCTTTAACAGTTTTTTTCTCTAAATAAAATGATCTAACATTATTGAACAGGGTTTCATGCTGATTATTAAAAACTTACAAGTACATACTGCATGCGGCAATACAATGTGGTCTAACTTAAATTCAAACTATCGCTATTACTGTAACGACCTCAAATGTGTATATTTGCAATGGTACTAGGACTTTTCTCTTTATTGTCTGCTTATTGCAAACCAATAAATACCATTTATATCCTCACATAATTTGTGGGCGAGCGTACCCTCCCAACCCCTCTATCTCTTTCTGATCGTAGCGAATCACGACTCTGGAAAAAATGGATTAGTCGATTTCGTTTAATTAATTTCTTCTACGCAAAACGTAAGGTATATAAACCAACGCTTTTTAGCTGAGCAGCGCAGTTGGCACTGTTCGTCAAAGACTGCTCGTTCCTTAGGACGTCAAACGCTCTCTTCAGCTGAAGCTGCGGTAAAATTCAAGTCAACGGCAATACCATGAAAAGTTTACCTTTTTCACTCCTCGTTTCGTTGGTTGTGGCATTTGCGGTCGCTGGAGCAAATGCGTACAGCGGGGGTCAGGCATTGTTCACGAAGATGATTGAATTATTTCACATCAACCACCGCCTTGAGTATGTCACAAATCAGATTGCTGAAGACTGTCCGTACTTCTTCGCCAAGAGAGAGCATTATGAAAAGATTAATAAATATGTTGGCAAAAGAGGGCTTGTCGCTGAAGAAGACAACATCAACCTGGAGCTGCAACTGGCAAAATACTCCCTGGAATTCATGAAACAAGCTCTTTTGGACTGCAGACGAGGTAAGTCCCTTTCGAAAACTTGGGCGTGCAATTGATATACGACAAAACGACATTGTACATACCACATTTAATCCTACATTTGTTTCTTGGTTGTGTTAATTTGATCGAATTGGAAATGTAAATTTTTTTTATTTTAATATTATTTGAATATTAATTTTTTTAATAATTGTATTCAAATGACAAGATGATAGATGATCTTTCAAAATCAAAATGTAATTAATGGCTTTACTAAGGGGTTCGTTTATTCTTTGTTACAGTGAACTGTTCTTCGGAAAGCAACATACGCATAGAAAAATATTCAATCTTATTCCAATATACCACGGCCAGATCTTCTTACTCCGCTTGGATGAAGGATTCTCAACCATTAACTCCTAACGAAGCAAGTAAAGTTTATTATTTTCATGGGTATTCCAACAACAAAGTTGTTGTGTTCGACACTTTCACAGCTATGAAGCAAGGCACTCAATCCGCGTCATTTACACTTCCCTATTCCTTTGCCGGCACGGGCCATGTCGTGTATTGGGGCAATGTGTACTATCGTCGACTAAATACGCAGAATATCATAAAGTATGATCCCCTGAAAATGAAGACCATAGTGAAACAGGTGAACGATGTGGATGCGGGAAACACTTGCCGCTATGCCTGGGGCGGTTACACCACCACTGACTTTGCCGTGGACGAGTACGGACTGTGGTTAGTTTACGGGAACAGGAGTAACATCTGTTACCTGGTCATCGCCAAGATCAACCCGGACACTCTCGACGTGGAGAAATCGTGGGAGACGACCATTGATATCAGGGGCGTTGGAAACACGTTCATGAAATGTGGCGTGCTTTACGCCACGAATTCCTACAACGCTCAGTCCAATTACATCCGCTATACCTATGACACCAACACTGGGAAACAAGAGTCGCTTTCCTCGTCTAAGATCCCGTTTAGGCAACCTGGGACAAGCAATGCCATGCTAGATTACAACCCCCATGATGGCCTTCTGTATTATTCTGACAGAACTTACGGATATCTTGCAACGTTTCCAATTGTCTAATCAGTGTAACAAGATTACGGCTTTAGAAAAGAAACCCAAGAAATAAAAAGTTGAAACTATGGTGTTGTTTGTCAGAATCTCTCTTTCTCACACGATGCGTGTTTGAACGTTTGTCATGGTGTGTGTGTGTGTGTGTGTGTGTGTGTGTGTGTGTAAGGGGGCGCGTTTGTTCTTTGAGGGTGGATTGCTAGGCGTGTGTTTGGGTTAAAATACACATTTTCAAGATAACAAAGGTCGTTCAAGACTTGTTACCACAAGTGGGCCTCGCATATTCTTTTAAATCCCTCGTCGTTTTTTATTGGTGGCTTTTAATTCACTGCCACACCGGCATGTTAGTGGGAGGAGGTGGGAGGGGGGGGGGGCGTGCCGAGCCCTTGATCACTTTGCTCAAGACAACATGGAGCGTTGGTGCTTCTGTAAGCAATAGGGATTTGTGTGCATGTGCCGCAAATTTGTACATTCGTAAATCGTGTGATCAGTGTAACAAGGTGTCGGCTGCATATAAGCAAGCCAAGAAATAAATTGTTGAAACTGTTGAAACTAACAAAGGTCATTTATATAAGACATAAACAAACGCAATTTGAAAATTATCTCCATCCATTGTGGTATAGATTAATGCAATGCAATCAAAGTCTACTTAGATATAATATAATACTGGTGTATCGGGAGGAGGGGAGCGTATTCCGACCCTTTCTTTTCCTGAAAAGAGTTTTAGCTAAAAAAATCATAAGCATGATAATGCACTGAGTGCCAAATATTTTCCTTTAACGGCACCGTGGTGTTTCAATACTAGTTATCTTTGGGCGGAGGTGGGGTTTTGGAGTTTTTGGGGGAGATGGGGTGGGCAATAACAGAAGTTATGAAATGTATCAAGAGAAAATAAGATGATTGATGTACATGTACATGTGTAAAGGTATCAATATCCATAATATGCATGATATGGGCATATTCAAATGAGACCAAATTGATATGCTGGTCGGGTAATGGGATTTCGGAGAAAGTAAAAACTACCTCGTACCTAAAAACACTGCTTTATACCTTTCTGAAGGACTTGAAAGATCCTTCTCCCATGTATACATGTACAGTATAAAATTTGGTAAGCTGCGGAAAAAGTCTCTAGAATGCGGTAGGTAAGATTCCGGGCGCAGGTCGCACGTCGGAATATAACAATAGAACGTTCAGCTGGCGTCCATTTTGAGATACAAAATGAGAGGGCAGCTATTTTACTGTAGTAATTATTTCTGTTTTCATTATAGACAGCTAAAAAAATTGAAAATAATTTAATACCATAAAGACGTTCATTTCGTCTGCTCTATAGACATTTGCTACTTCAGAGACATACTTGCTTTCTGTCTCCTTTCTTGCTATTGCTTGATACATAGGGTAATTATAATATATGTGCCTTGCCTGTCCTCTCTGCAGCATCCGAGATCAACCACAGTCGTACTCACAAATGCGCTTTAGATCAGTAAGATTGTCACACCATTAATTTCACTTGTTTTTGTTTATGAATCATCACTGATTTAAAAACTGATTTAACAGGGGCGGATCCAGGATTATTTGAAGGGGAGGGGGGGTCTGCGGATTCGAAGCCCCCCCCCCCCCCTTAATCCCCCTAAACTGTTTTAAGTAGCATTTTAATCCTATTATCATAACAAACATAACTTACGGTACTGAAAATCTACATATCGATTTAAGTATCAATTTCGTTGTTTACTTATTCACTTTCAATTTATGCAACTCCTTAATTCTGATATTCTAAGGTGATTTCCATAGAGGAAAATATATGCATAGAATTAAAAAGATACCATCTAATGTTACAGAACTCATATATATTCAGCATCAAAATGTGCCCTTTTAAAGTCAGGAGCCTAATAGCGATTGTGTCTACGTGTATTTTGCAAAAGTGTCATCCACTACTGTTTTCTTTACACGCTAGAATTGTATCCAAATGAAGTGCATCTTATTTTGTTTAGGTAACTTTTTAAATATTCAAATACATTGTACATGTAAGAGCTGAACCTATGCCTGTCGTTTACGTTTAAAATTGTTTATGGCATCAAAATACACTGTTCATGTAGTTGGCCACTCTGATAATGAAAAAAAAAATACTTTTTTTATGATTCATTTCTTAATGTCCCTGTTAATGTTAAAATGAAGCTTGTTATTTACTCGCTTGAATTAAACCGAGTCAGCGATTACGTGCATCTCTCCACGTTCTCATCGCACAGAAATGCAAAGTTTGAACAGTGTTTTTTATTTCGTAATACAAAGGGGATGCAACGTGTCTGTGACAGATAAGAGGTACATTTGCTTAAAATAATAATTTACTCTAGGCTCACATGCGGCACCAAGCGGGTTTTGTGGTAAGAAACCGCAATCAAATTTACACCCTTCTTACATCTTACTTCAGGTTAAGGGAAAAGGTATCTAGATATCCTCTTCCCCCGATAGTCACCGAAATATTGGAAGTAAACCACCTGAAATTGAAAAGTATTACTGCTTTACCCCTTTAATTATACAGTTTATTCCTACTGCAAAACAAAGATGAAATTGTTTTCTGGACATTAGTTTACCTTGTAGACAATATTCGTGGGCCGAGTTTCTGCATTTAATGTCTATCTTTTTATAACATTTTCCCAAACAATTTGTTTATTTACACACTTTGTTGTTCACAAGTCTTTTAAAGTATAAAAATAAATGGACACGGCCATACACCAAAAACAAATTTCGTCGGAAGTGGAATACAAATCCTTGAAATCACATATTGGTTTTAGCTATCATTTTGAAAAGAAAGTAAATATGGTAGAACACAGCTCCTACAAATGTGTTTGCATTGCAACCCCAGTGTCGGATTAAGAGGGGGGGTCAGGGGGTCTTCACAACTCCCCCATTCTGTTTCTGAAAAATATATCACGCCAATATTCCCCTCTAGAATTTTCTAGAATTTTCTAGAATTTTGAATAGCTAAATCATAGTTCTAAACCGTACCAACCGGCACTGTTTGCTCTCCGAAACACCAAAATTCTTTCGGAGCCCTTGAGCAGGCCCCGAACCCCACACCAAAGGGGCGATGGTCGGCTTTGCATCCGAGGCCTGTCGTTCCGTACCCCCCTTTAAATATTCCTGGATTTGCCCCTGACCCCTACCCTAATACACACACACAAAACACTCTACAGGTACCTAAATTCACGCACTGTTCATGTAAAACCACTGTGGCATCACCATTCTTAAGAACATTGGTGGCCAGACATGCTCTACAAGAGATGCTGGTCTGAACCATGATTTCAGCTGACATCGTACTTGCTTTGAAAGAGCCAAGAAGCCTGCGGATACAAAATAAATCATAAGTCCAATTCAGTTTGCTTTCTTAATCATAGGTGACGGTTTTCAGTGAGATTTAGAGAGAGATTTAGAGAGAGACTTCTCAAATTTGCATCCCGAAGAGTTATATGACCAGTTTTGTGCACTAACGCGACTGCAGAATATGCTGAATAAACAGTAAAACATGAGCCGTTTATCTCACTTCTTGCAAATTTCATCAGCCACGATATATCTTATTTCGCAGTTACTGTTATTTTACCACACGAGGAATATATCCAAATATCTTTTTGAACCGATGTTTGCAGTAACAGACGGTTAAAATGATATCAGGCAAAATGCCACTTGGTACCGGGTTCCTGGCCAATCCCCTAGGACCAACCTTATCAGTGAAAAACATTTCGGAACATTGCAGACAACTCACTGTTTTGTTTTTCTCAATCTTACCAAGGTCATAGTGTATTTATCAAGTCTGACAAATTATTATAATAGTAGAATTAAATTAGAATTAAATCAAAGTCATCTTATGTGATTTATTTACCTGGACACTACATACAGTATGTCTTTCCCGCCATGGGTTCAACAGACCTGGGCCCCGTGTCTCGAAAGCATCGCGTATTGCGAATAGCTATATATCAAATAGAGGCTACAATGTATTATATGGGACGAGTATGGGCGGGTCATGGAATAGAGACGCTTGCGCACGGTCGCAATGCGCGATGCTTTCGAGATACGGGGCCCTGGCCCTCAAACCCACCTGCTGTGATGTACATGTATCAACTCTGTCGCTTTTACGATCATACTTAAGTGTCGTCTCTTTTTACTAACCCCTGCCAGGACTGACCCTTTCTCGGGGTTGTACAGAAAATCATTGTTCTGTTCTAAATTGTATTTTGTGAGTTCTGTATTCTTCGTCCAAACTTGAGATCAGATATCACGGTCTCTCTCCACGCCTTTCTGTTATACGGATTAGTAGACATACAGAGCTATGATATACAGTGTTTTTGGTTTTTTCGTTGTTTCTTTATTTATTTATGTATCTATTCATTTATTCTAAGTCAAAAGACACGCATCCTGAAGACGTGTATTTGAAAAGGCACGTGTCTGTGCAACGTGCTGTAGGAACCAGACACTGTGCTTATCAAGATGGACAGACGCGAGGTTTCTTTTCATCCTTGTTTATAAAAATGATAATTCACTATATTTAAACACGTCTCTTCTTACAAGTATAGCATGTATGTGTCTCATGATTTCAGTTGATTTTTGCACTATCCTTGCTGAAAATGTAGACAGTGACACGAATATTCTTAGGTCAACAATAAGGTCAGTTCTTCTAGAATCCCTTCTTAAATAGACATTTTTGTGCCAATCTGGATACAAATTGCATCAGTTGTTATTTTACCACAGTGGTTTTCAACAAAAAATGACACACTAAAAGTAGTAAGAAATCTTAGTTTGAGAATTCTGAAAAATTTCAAGGTGGCCGCATACGCCATTAAAAAACATGCACATGTTGTACTGGGCTATATGGTTACCTATAACAAGCACTTCGTTTCTCAGTGTTTTTCTATACCTTCAATACCCCTATAATATATAGATTGTAAAAAGTGGCGTGACCAAAAACTCGTTTTAATAAGTTTTAGCCCCATTATCCCCGCTTGTCCCTTTATTTTTCATTTCATCTTTCATTTTTCATTTTATCTTTCTTTTCACCACTGCACTAAAATGCGAAATCACGTGGTATCCTGGGTGCTTTAAACACGTTTTACAAAATAAATAAATAGATAAATAAATAAATAAATAAATAAAGGGTGCCTTTAGAGTATTGAAACATGTTAGTTACAGTATATGAATTTAGCAAGTGAGAGCTGGATACAGAAACGCATGCTACCTGTAGTCAACTGTAAATACAAATAATACTAGCTACCTTCTATATCCTCATGTAATTTGAGGTCGAAAGTTAACCAATCAACCCTTCCGTTTCTATCCGATCTTGGCCAATCACGTTTCTAGAGGAAAAGGATAAATCAAGGTGTGGTTTCTTCTGCGCCAAAAGTGCGTTATATAAACCAGAGGTTTTCCTTAAGAGCGGCGCAGTTTTCTCTGTAGTCTACTGTTGCAGGAGGTCGTTATACGTAGCATTCGATTGAAAAAGCTGTTAGTTTAAGTCAACGTTAACATCATGAAAATTTTCAATTTTTCATTCCTCGTTTTGCTATATTGTTATTTGACCAGCTCCGGTGCAACTGGGAAAAACTTATGGTAAGTACAGTGTATTTAGCTTTTCTTATTATTTAGAATGTATTTTAAATAAGCTGTTGATCGTCATGACATATATACATTACAGAATATAAGGATTAAGGTTAAATTTGTTTAATGTAAAAGAGAACATAAGGCTCGCCCATGCATTTGCACGCATCCGTGCAGTGTTTTATGAATTCTCGGATGCCTTATGCACATGTGCATACATCCACACGGAAGCGAACCCACACACATATGCACACGCACAAGACCTATCGCGAACGCGGACACGCATGCATACAAAAAACATGAACACACATACGCACAGGCAGGTGTACCTTTTCATGTTTTATTTATGCTGAAATTCTACAGCACATGCAAAGTGTACATTTCATCGCTGTTGATTAATATACTAACCCCTCTATTACAGCACCAGTGCCAACTTTCAAACTGTTGGCCGTGTTGTCCACGGTGAGGCCAGAGGAGAGTCCTTTACTGGTCAACTGGCTGTGGCGTACACCATTGTTAACAGAGTGAATCACGGGGGTTACCCGAACACACTCAAGTAAGAATATGTTTACCTTAACAACGAACGCTATTGTAAATATCGCCCGTTAGCGGGATAGGGGTAGGGGCAAAGAAACTGCGTTTTAGCGGGATTGGATCCAGTGTAAATCAAAATTTGTATACGTTGGGGGTGCTACCGTATACCCATCGAACTTGCTTATATAGACAGACGCAATAGATAAATAGCAATGGACTAATAAGCAACAGCCAGTTTGCTTACTACATGTACTTGCTTGTCATTACTACATGTATAAATCTAAACAAAAAACGTCTATTTCGGATTCCTCCTATACATGTATGTACGTCAGAGAAGATAAAATAGTATCATGCTTCATAAGATTGCAATCAACAATTTCTTTGGTATGTTTTTTGATAAGTCATTCAGTTACTAAGCTCAGAAGTTTTAGGGAGGAGTTTTGTTAGAGCTCCTTGATATTAGTAGGCCTACATGTAAGTTCGATCATTTAGTTACATGTAGTTGGTCGGTTCTGTTGTCCGCCGATTAGTGAGTTACATGTAGTAAGCCAGTAAACGAGTAAATACGTTAGCCAGTGAGTGGGTGCATGAGGGAAATCATTACTTTTACTTTTTCTACAGTAAGGTGGTGTACCAACGATACTCCGGTGGTTACCAATACAACACACTCAGTGAACCCCGTCACGACAGAGCTTGGGCTACGTCCAAAGCCAACAATGACTCCACCTATCGTAGGGCAATTCTGGCCGCTAAAGACGCGTTGTGTGGCTACAGGTCAGATCCTACTGGCTGCGCAACAGACTACTGCGCGTACGATCCTTGCTCGGCGACAAGATCTAATCGTTACTGGGACGTCTACAATAAGAGGAAGATCGGGAACCATTGGTTTGTTTGCCGCAGCCCAAAGTGAGGTTAAGAAAAAATGAGAAGAATCTGCGTTCTCATCAAATAACGTTGCAAATATGCTTTATGCAAGCTTTAAATAAACCCTTGTGTGCAGGCCTACTGTAACTGTGTTTAAGAATAGCTGACTGGGCAAAACTTGAGAATGAAATTCCTTCACTTTCGGAGTAATTGCTGTTATATGCATATGCGGTTAAATTCTCTTTTCAATGTAGGTAAAATGAACTTCAAGCTCAATGAAAGTTGGTAATTAAACTAAACATCAGCACCCCCAACCGCCATCCCTGGTTAATGCAAAATAAAAATGCACATAGGAGATTATGAAATAAATGGTCATCCTCTGTACTCTTTACTGTTGTTTATATTAACTTCAGATTGCACAGAAGGCTAGCAATTGCCATCAACGGTACATTCTTTCTATTGTAGGAAAACGGTCCATAAAAACGGGAGTAAATGTTGTACTCAATGCAGACACTACAGTTCTTGTATCTTTCGCATTAAAAGGGGGGTTTAAAAAGCACCATCTTTCCAAATAAATGACCTTTTGATAACAACGAATCCCTCTCCAGCTTCTACACCCACAAGTTGTACATGTACACCGTAGTCATGCTAACTCCTGAATAAATAATTTTGCGTGATCAGTCTCACACTGAGCCGCTCATTTACAGTGTAATAAGTACATTCCTAATCAAACGTTTTTTCCCATTTTTTCATATCGCTCTATCAGTCTTGCTTCAAACTGCTTAGTGCGTTCATAATTATTTTTTCATTATTTAATACCGTGCCATCGGTCTTGCCCTACCCCTGTAAATGCCATTTTGCTACTCGCTTTATTATAGCAAATCGGCCCCTTTCTGGGCCCTGCAAGTCCTACCAATAGACAACTTGGACGGATCCAATAAAAATCCAAGAATCAAGTCTTTGGATTCTGTGTTTTGAAGGAATTATATTTTTTCTGATAGGGGACTTAAAGTAAACCTTATATACCAGCACGTATTCATACAGTGTACATGTAGATGCATCATATTTCTGGCAGTCATGCATACATCACAAGCTTTCTTTTTGACGAAAATAATTAATCTCTCTCTCCCTCTCTCTCAAAATGATAAAATGACACCTATTAAATGTAGGATGATAAAACTGATAGATGCGTCTCCGTTGTCTAAATGTCGGGTCACAGCTGTCGATGAGTACCCCCCCGTACATTTCTTCAAATATGCTTTTCAATTTACTGCATATTAATATAATCTGCATAAGAGAATCAAAGTGGATTTGGGACCCTCCCTTCGTCCCAAACAAAACAGCGCAGTCATATCAACCATTCTCTTTGAAAAGCTAAAAATGGAAACAAAATTCTTGTTTGCATTACCCAATCCTTAGAAAGATTTAGATTTCACAGTTCTTCGGCCTACTTTTGAGGTGACTGTATTCTACGTGTAGATAAAGTCAAATTTCATCAAGCATGAAACAAATTTTAAAATATTACACCCAGGTCTGTTGAAGAACAACAACGAAATCCATGTGTTCCAAGTTCACAATGTTATCAGGAGACGTGACAATCTTTGGCTTACACCCTGACAGCGGTCTCAGGAAATCGATCTGCAAGGCTATGTCACGGCTAATCATCACGATTGGCCCACACATTTCTTTATGAACCGCGACCGACGAGAACATTATCCTCAAACTGGGTTTAAGCTGTCATAGGACAGAAAGCACCCATCTTTTCGTTATGTCAATATTTCAAGTTTTTTTCCTCTGCATATTTCTTCATTTTGGCAGAGGACAGAACATTCCGTCAAGTAACCAAAATCAGTTTTCTACACTCCTCGAGTTACTGAAGTTACAAGTTCAAATCGAGAAAGCCAGTGATGTTCTCCACAAGGAATGCCCAACGCTGTTCCAGCATCCAGACGTCTCCAGCATTTTAAAGCCAGTCATAGGTAGGCTTACACCTGTTAAGTGTCTCTCTCTCTCTCTCTCTCTCTCTCTGTGTGTGTGTGTGAAATTATGATGCCCGATTTTAGTACTGGCAAGCTGGATCCGTCATTCCGAATTCATGCATGTTTAAAAATATTAAGATTATTTATTCTTGTATTTTTATATGTTAGCCATTGGAAGAAATTCAGTCCAATAAAAGTACCAATAAAAATTGAACAGAACTGATAAAGTGTCAGTATAACTTTATAAATTTTTGTTTAATTATTTGAATATACATGTAGATAGCAGATCTTAGTTTTATTACATTTTGGCATAAAAAGCACTTGGGATTAACTTTGTGTTGGTATTGAGTTTTGTAATTTTGTAATAAAGATTGAAGGAAATTTAAATTATTATTTATCTTGCATGCGTAGGAAAAAGACAGCTGTACTTTGGCGCGTCATCGGAGGAGATAGAATTTAGGATCAGCCTTGCTAAGCATACTCTAGATTTCTTGACGCAAAGTTACTTGAAGTGCAAAGCCGTGTCACTAAAAGTCACGACACCAGGTAAGGTAACATAAGATATCATGAATCCGTTTTAAAGGAGCCAAAATAGTTAAGGTTATCAGAACACCTTCTGTTTATTATATTACAAGAGGTGGACCCCGTTTCCATCTTTTAAATGTAAGTGAAATTTAATACTTAATTTATTAACACTTCTACCTCTGGGTAAAATTGATACGCATAAGCTTAGATTTTCAATTATACATGTACGATGACTTGCATTTTCGAGGTTAGCTTCTATTTTGGTTGACGTACAATGTATTCAATATGTTAAACGACAGCGGACAGTTTTGGTTTCAGCATAGCGACATTCAATTTTGACATCGTCCTAGATATCATGAAATAAATCTATCAGATCCTTGCTTTCTTCATATTTGTCGCCGCTTTTAGTTCCCGATCCATGTTACAGTCAACCGTGTCAAAATAACGGGACGTGCACCGACAGCGGGGACACTGCTATCTGCGCCTGTCTGTCTGGTTTTACCGGCGCCACGTGTGACGTAGGTGGGTGCACGTGGACTAGTATGACGTCACAGTGATAACAGTTCTACATAGAGTGGAACAGATGAGTTAAATTATCTATAGACTCTATATCTATACTTAAAACGACTTTAAGACGTTAAGTTAATGATTTAATAGCAATATATTGCTATGGGTAATTTAGTATTTTAATACCTACCGGGTATCAGCAATTGATAATGAAGTGTACACGTGCATGACATGTTTTCCAGACATCGATGAATGTTCAAGCGCCCATGTGTGAATGGTGCCAGGTGCAAAAACCATCCGGGTTCTTTTCAATGCGTGTGCTTGGCTGGATTTACAGGAAATTTGTGCGAGAATGGTAAATATTTTTATTTGAAAAGTCGAAAACGTAAAGTAATTGTTTTCACTACTTTTCTTTTGTTCATTTTGTATTGGCAATTGCCATAGATGATTTAAGTTTGTTTAACTGTCACGGAATACAAACGGTATAGGAACTACCGTATTTGTCAGTATTCTGAAGGGGACGCTCCGTAGTCTGATGTTATTTTGATATTGAAGTTTAAGATAAAACAAAATACAAACTTATAAGAATAGTAATAATTAACTTGTTCTTAATTATTTTATTTATTTTTCGTGTCCTAAGGTAAGCTAAGTAAGTTTAGCCTTGACTATAAGATAAGAGTTGGGTACAAAACTGGGTCATTATTCTAAAATTTATTAATTCTTGTTCTTCTATCAAAAATGAAATGGCCATGAATGCATATTGTAAGTGTCGGTGTGCAATCATGGGGATTATAACTGATAATTTTTTATTGGTCATGACACAGACACATTTTAAATATTAGCAAAGTCATTATGGAAGATTTATTTGATTAATAATACCAATGGTAACCATGTTATTAAATTATGTATATACATGCTGAGTCGTATTGAAATGTTCAAATAATCAGTTTTTTCTTATGCATTTGATAATATTTTTTGCATTGTATTGTCTTGAAATTAATAACCGATTTATTGGTCTGTGCATTTTCTCAGACCTTGATGAGTGTGCTAGTAACCCATGCACCGCTGGATCCACGTGTCAAAACCGCCATGGTCACTTTGTGTGCGTTTGCCCAGCAGGCTTTGCGGGGAATCTTTGCCAGTTTGGTAATACAGTAATGCATGCCAACGTGGAAATAACAAACGCTCTCTCTCTCTCTCTCTCTCTCTCTCTCTCTCTCTCACACACACACATCCCCACCCCCGAGTGTTCTCCTGCAACGCTTTTCGATTTCAATCGATTTTGAAAAATCCTTTTCGCAAAATACAGGAAATTATCAAACCAAATCAAGTCACTGAAAATACCAAACTGTAGCATATGATCTAGTTAAAAAGGCATGTCTTGTTAATTTTTTCAGCAAAAAAGGGCAATCGTGTATATACTGTCCTTACGCAGTCCTTACAGTCCTTTTATAGCCCTTACAGTCATTTTGATGTAAACTTTTAAGCTCATTTGACGGATGTAGTCCATCTGACGTTACTCTCTCGTCCAAAAAGGAGAGCGAAATTACAGCGAAACTCTTTTCATATATATATATATATATATATATATATATATTTGTAGATATCAGCGAATGTTTTAGTCGGCCGTGCCAGCGGGGAGGAACGTGTATGGATTTAGTTAACGGCTATAGATGCATCTGCCCTGCTACACATTATGGAAAACAATGTGAAGGTTAATTAAGTTGAAGCAATGAGATTTATTATTTGTACACGTAAAATATCAGAGCAACCTTATCTATCTACTGAGAAGAAGTAAATTAGAAAAAATGTTACATAACACATGAATAACAGTAAAAACACACACATTTGTTGGGGTGGTTGAAAAGGTGTCTGACAGGTGTTTGCTTTCATAATTCAGTATACTGCTGAATTCTTATGCTCTGAAGGGCGGTTATCAAGCCGATTCTGCCACCAGGCCTCTTTCATAAGTGTGCTGTCGGTACGTTTGCTATTTAGATGTGTGTATACATTCTCCGGCTCGTTCTTTCGGGGAATGGGATTTCTGTTTGCATTAAGATTGTATAAAATTTAAAATTTAAAATTAAAAAAAAATGTCATTTCAAAAGGCCCCTTGACGATCGGTCGAAGAGTCATGCCAAAGATAAAAATCTCGTTCAGCCTCTTTGAAAACGCTTTTACTTTTAAATAGCAGTTAGGTAGTACCTTTTACAAATCGTATATAGTAATTTGATCACTCTTGATTCACTCTGAACGTAAAATTCATCATTTTCTTACCTGCTCATAATTATTGAAAATAACTCATTGCTTTTATAGGGAAGAAATGTATGTCTGGCGGCTCTATTAGAATTGAGAACACATCGATGGTCTTACAGTATAGTACAGCAGCACTGTATTACCTTTCTTGGATGATGGACTCTCATCCAGCTAACCTCAGCGCTGCAAACCGAGTGTGGCTGTTCAAAGGATATGGAAATAATGTAATCTCTGTATATGAAACTGTAGAAGACATGAAGCGTGGCATACAAAGTGCGTCAATTACACTTCCATACAACTGGGCCGGTACCGGACATGTTGTGTACAAAGGAAATTTGTATTTTCAGCGTTTGAAAACTCAGAATATTTTAAAATATGACATCCAGAAAATGGCGCTTATGGCAGAAAATCACATGAAAGACGTAGGCAGTGGCAACACATGTTCCTATGGTTGGGGCGGTTACACTACCACTGACTTTGCCGTGGACGAGTACGGACTGTGGTTAGTGTACGGGAACAGGAGTAACAACTGTAACCTGGTCATCGCCAAGATCAACCCAGACACTCTCAACGTGGAGAAATCGTGGGAGACGACCACTGATATCAGGAAAGTTGGAAACACGTTCATGAAATGTGGCGTGCTTTACGCCACGAATTCCTACAATGCTCAGTCAAATTACATCCGCTATACCTATGATACCAACACTGGGAAACAAGAGACGCTTTCCTCGAATAAGATCTCGTTCAAACAACCTGGTACATACAACACCATGTTAGATTACAACCCCCATGATGGTCTTTTGTATTACGCTGATAGTAGGGACGGATATATTGCAACGTTTCCAATTGTCCTATCAGTGTAACAAGATTTCGGCTTCGGGCAAAAAGCCAAGAAATAAAAAGTTAAAACAACGGCTTTGCTTGTAGAAACCTGTCTTGCTCTCATGTTGCATGTTTGAGCATTTATGTGTGTGTGTGTGAGAAGGGCACTACGTGTTTTGTTGTTATAGGATATATAAATTGATAGATGGGTCTGAGGGTTAAGAGACGCACAGTAAAAAAAAAAACTTAATTGAGGTCTTGTTTGCATATAGACTGTGGCGATCCTCGTACATTATTTCAAACCTCATTTTAAAGCGCCTGATGTTTGGATTGGTGACTTTGAATACCAGTACATTGCCACAGCCACAGATTGGCGGGAAGAGGGTGAGGGTGAGGGCGTGTTACAAACCTGTATCCATGCTAAAAAAATTTTTATATGAGTTTTTATATTCTGAACAGAAATTTAGTATTTGATTGTTTACAAAATGCATACCTGTATCCCACAATTCGTTGTGTGAAAATCGCAATGTACATCTACATGTATATGTCAGCTGAAAGCTGGCGATTCTCGATTTATGAGACTTAAGAAAAATATCCGTTTATTTGCAAAAACAGAAAGCGGTGCTTTCGAATAAAAGAAATGAGGAAAAATACATTCCGGGGCAAAAATACAAATGCAGAAATAGGAATGAAAACGCATTGTATTTGTCCTTTCGCCATCACAAACTGAGACTCGAGATCACGAAAGGATATTGCGTTTTTAAAAGGTTTGAAACAAAGAGCTCCTCCTTGCCGGCAATTTGTGTAGAAACCGGATTAGCATTTCAAGATGAACGCGTTCCTCAATGAAAAAACATTTTAAAATGGGAACTTACTTTGCTGGCCTCGTTTTAAACCAATTTTTAAAAAAATATTAAGACCTAAAGATGCCCAAAACATAGAAAATAAAAGATAACATCTGGCGAGCGTTGGTTCTAACCCTGACAATCCTCTCCAGGATGTGCCTTTATGCATAAATCCGTGGCTATATTTATCTGAGCATTCATTATTGTGTTGGCTATTGGCTCTGAAAACCTCAAACGCAACAGTATGTATCTATTTAGTCGCAGCGCCTTGGCTCTCTGCATTTTGTTGGGCGTGGGATTAAGTCAGCGTCAACAAGATCGGTTTTCCAACCTTCTCGAGCTTCTAAAGCTACAGGTTCAGATTGAGAAAACGGGTGAGTTCCTACGCATGGATTGCCCAACCCTGTTCCAGCAGCCTGGGGTTTCACGTTACTTGAGGTCTGAACCCAGAGGTAAGAAGCAACTCTCTCTCTCTCTCTTACAGTTTTTCATCATAAACAATGTCATTAATTTAAACGTTTTCGGTTTTTATCTATACACAGTCTCTTTTTTATCAACTGTAAATGCCATAATGAAGATTTCACATTTAAACGTATTACTGCACATTATCTGCGTGTGCTCTGCTTCATATATTCACTATAGTGTCGACAATCATTCCCCTCTACAGCCCTCTGTCTTTGGGAGTTCTCAGCATGTCTTGTTAATTACCTAAGTATGTCCCATCTACTGTGCAAAGCTATCCAGCCTATTTGCACTTTGCCTTCCCTTCCTTCTTTTCCTTCCAACGTTCCCTACGTTACTAGTTGCTTTATACGTCAATTTTTCTTTACATGTCCTAAGCCATTAAACTGGATTGTTTTTTCTGGTTTTCTTTAAGAGTATTATGTGTTGGCATCTCTTCCCCTTGGAGTTGTGTGTGTGTGTGTGTGTGTGTGTGTGTGTGTGCAAGGTACACGTACGCATCATATCCTGACTCGGGTGTTTTTCACTTTAAATTTCTTACTGGCAGTCCATGTTTTACAGCTCTGCATTATTGAAATTATCCTATGTAGCATTGTACGGTTCTCATTCTCTTTTTTCTGTTGATACTAGCAAGATACATTCTTGATCCTAAGTTGAATTGACTTTAATTACGGTATATATCTGCCGTCAGAAGTAATAAAACTACCCAGCCATTATAATCACTGACTTGTTTTGATTCAGTGTTGTTTCTATAAATGTTACATGCATGAACGTACTTTTACTATCCACGCTCACTACAGGAATCCCAAATTGGTGCATAACATCCAATGTTACATCCCAGAACCAAGATGGTTCTCTGGGTTATCAAAAAATAATGTATAAATGTCAAGATGATTGCTTCGACTAATCGAAAATGTCGGATGAAATTAAACACTCATTTCAGATATCTAAACGTCATTTCCCTCCTAATTAACGAAACTTGGTTAAACGGACTTCAATGTCCCATGGTGACTCTGTTTGTGATGTTTCACACTGCCAACCAAAATTACCGCAACGACTAGCCTAAATAATTAACTTTTTTTCACGTGACGTGGCGGTAATTTTAGTTGGGGGTGACGCACGTGTGGCCCATTTCCGGTGTGCTCTCCACTTTGTTCGTTAGTTGTAATAATAATAAATAATAAATTTATTTTAAGTCTAAAATCCATTTAAAATGTTCAGTAGACATTACATAAAATATCATAAAAAATACTACATAAAATATCATAAATAAAATCTAGGTAAAACAGCCATTATTCCATACAATTAAATGCAATTAATACAAGATTTATAAAACCAATTAAGAGTTAATCAAAATATTTCCTAAAAAAGGTATGTTTTTAGTTCTTTTTAAAAATGTTTGGTAGACTGAATTGCTCGGATTTCCAGCGGTAATAGATTCCATTCCTTTGGACCTGCAGCTTTAAAAGATATATCACCGTAGGTTTTTAATCACATTTTTACTGGGTTGAGTAGCAATTGGTCTACAGTCCGCAGATTACGCATTGGAACATAGTGACTAATTCATTGATGTATGTTGGTGCCAATCCATAAAAAGCATCGTGAGTAAAAACTAAAAATTTGAATAAAATCCTGGCTTGTAGAGGTAGCCGGTGTAAACTTTTTAAAACTGGGGAGATGTGTATACTTGTGGATGTCCGAGTTAATAATCTGGCCGAAATATTTTGAATGCGCTGCAGTCTAGCAATTTGTTTCTTTGGACAACCGTATAAAATGTAGTTGCAGTAATCTAATCGAGATGTAACTATACAATTTATAACTGTGGCTGCAGCAGAGTCAGACAACTGATTGCGAATTGCACTTATGTTCCTAATGTTAAAAACCGCTGACCCTCATACACTGGCAATATGTTTGTTCATACAAAGTGATCCATCAAAAAATACACCAAGATTTCTTGCATGAGGTGGTGTTGGCTTAATAATGCTTGATCCAATTTTGAGCTGAATTTGTTGTGCTATCATACGATTATGTGGCTGACTTATTACCAAACGTTCAGACTTTCCATCGTTAATTTTCAACTTATTACTAATCAGCCACCCGCGAAGATCATCAATACATTCAGACAAAATATCAATAGATTCATTTGGATTTTCTAGATTGCAACAAGTAAAAATCTGTGTGTCATCAGCATAAATATGATAGCCAATGTTATGATGTCTTAGTATGGCCCCAATTGGTAAGGTATACATGCAAAACACAAGAGGTCCTAGAACACTGCCTTGTGGCACACCAAAAGCTATCTCTGAAACATTTGATAATATGCCTTTTATCATAACCTGCTGTGACCGGCCTGTAAAATAAGAACGTAAAAGACTAAGAGCAGAGTTGTGAGGGCGTGCGCCTTACTCAACACGCAAAGGGCAATTGATCCTTCATTGCTTGCGACGTGCGTCTTGCACAACGCGCGCCTCTCTCGTTAACTCTGTGCGAGGGAAGCAAGTTACGCAGGCTATTCGTAGAATCTTTTGGACATGTCCAACATCCTCCGTACGTGGTTACGGGCTGTCTGCGAACTCGAAATTGCGTTAGAAGAACTTGCGTGGGACGTGAGATTCTGTGCAAAATTTGAACGCAAACAACCCGTAAGAGCCCGTACGGCCGGTTGTGACCGAGGCTTTAATGGGAATTGTTTTCACTTTAAAAAGGAAAGGGATGCAGGCAAAGCGGCACGCTTACAATACAATAGGGAACATTTCAGTGGTTTTCCAGTACAGCCCGGCCAATTCCAGACAGTCTGCGTGGATGAGAGACTCCCAACCACAGTTCGGCAGAGTGTGGTTTTTCGGAGGATCTGTGAGAAACAACCCCTTGGTTGTATTCGACTCAGTAGAGGCCATGAAGCGCAAAAACTCACGTGAGACCATCAGACTCCCATACAACTGGGCAGGCACTGGACATGTTGTATACAGGAATTCTGTTTACTTTATCCGTGCCCTTACGAAGACCATAATCAAGTTCGACCTCAAAAACAGAAATGCCATGATTGAGGCATCATTGAGAGACGTAGACGGGGGCAACAGATGTACTTATCCGTGGGACGGTTACGCTTCCACTGACTTTGCCGTGGACGAATACGGGCTGTGGTTGGTGTACGGGAACGTGACTGCGAACTGTAACCTGGTCATCACCAAGATCAACCCCGATACTCTCAACGTGGAGAATTTGTGGCCGACGACCATTAGCAGTGGAAGCTTGGGAAACACTTTCATGAAATGTGGCGTGCTTTACGCCACGAATTCCTACAGTGAAATGTCCACTTACATCCGCTATACCTATATATCACCAACACTGGGAAACAAGAGTCACACATGGAAATAACTTTGTGTCTGGTATTGTCTTTTGTAATTTCGTAAGAAGATTGAAATGATATTTTTTTAGATCGAAGGAAATTTAAATTATTCTTTATCTTGCATGCGTAGGGAAAAGACAGCTGTACTTTGGCGCGTCATCGGAGGAGATAGGATTTAGGATTATCCTTGCTAAGCACACCCTAGATTTCTTGACGCAAAGTTACTTGAAGTGCAAAGCCGGGTCACTGAGAGTTACGACGCAGGGTAAGGTGAAACAAGATATCACGAATCCGTTTTAAAGGCGCATAAATAGAAAGGTGCAATCAGAAAACCCTGTGTTTATTATATTACAAAAGATAAACCACGTTCCCATATATTAACACTTCTAATGGGTAGTGATGATACGAATCAAATTAATCCTTAAATTTGTAGTGGCTACGTATTCATTTTTATCGAGGTTCATTTCTTTATCTTTTAGTTTGGCTGATGGAAAACATGTTCTATAAAACTAACGGCAAAGGCTGATTTGGGTTTCAGTATCGCCACGTTCAATTTTGGCATCGTCCTAAATAAAATAAAATAAAGCAATATGTTTCGTCATTTTAAGCTCCTGATCCATGTGACAGTCAACCGTGTCAAAATAACGGGACGTGTACCGCCAGCGGGGATACTGCTATCTGCGCCTGCTTGCCTGGTTTTACCGGCGCCACGTGTGACGTAGGTGGGTGCACGTGGACTAGTGTGACGTCATGGTGGCAATGTTCCTACACACAGTGGAACAGATGCGTTCAATTATCTAGGCCTATAGACTCTACGCCTATATTTTAACGACTTTAAGGCTGTAACGTAATGATTTAACATCAATATATAAATATGAATAATTTGGTATTTTAATACTTACCTTGCATCAGCACTTGATTATGAAGAGAAAATGACGTGTTTTCTAGACATAGGCAAAAATACCGTTTAGTCGCTTTAAACAAAATTTTCTTTTCAATAAGAATTAGAAATTACTGTTAAGTGTTTTAAAACACTGTGAAGCAATTTGATCATTAATTGTCTCTGTAGTAAATTTTATTATGTAACACATTATTGTTTTTATAGGGACGAAATGCCTGTCTGGCGGCACTATTAGAATTGGGAACATGTCAATGGTCTTTCAGTATAGCCCAGCAAGGTCCCTGCACTCTTCTTGGATGAAAGACTCTCAGCCAACTAACCTGAGCTATGCTGACCGAGTGTGGTTTTTCAAAGGATATTCTACAGAAAATGTGATCGCTGAATTCGAAACAATTGAAGACATGAAGCGTGGTATACAAAGTGCGTCAATTACACTTCCATACAGGTGGGCCGGTACCGGACATGTCGTACACAGAGGCAGTTTGTATTTTCAGCCTCATGGAACTCAGAAAATTGCTAAATATGATATCCAGAAAATGAAGCTTATGGCAGAGATTCACTTGAAAGACGTAGACAGTGGCAACAGATGCACCTATGGTTGGGGCGGTTACGCTTCCACTGACTTTGCCGTGGACGAATACGGGCTGTGGTTGGTGTACGGGAACGTGACTGCGAACTGTAACCTGGTCATCGCCAAGATTAACCTGGACACTCTCAACGTGGAGAAATCATGGGAGACGACCATCAATTACAGGATAGTTGGAAACACGTTCATGAAATGTGGCGTGCTTTACGCCACGAAATCCTACAGTGAAACATTCATTTACATTCGCTATACTTATGACACCAACACCGGGAAACAATAGTCGCTTCCCTCGAACAGTATCTCGTTCAAACAACCTGGTCCATACAACACCATGTTAGATTACAACCCCCATGACGGCCTTCTGTATTATGTAGATTACAATCCCGGGTACATTGCCACGTTCCCAATTGTCAAATCAGTGTAACAAGATCACGTATTCAGAAAAGAAAGCCAAAAAATAAACAGTTGGAAATATAGTTTTGTTTGTAGGAATATCTCCTTCACCCACAAGGCACAATGCGTGTGTGAGCATTTGTGTGTGTGTGTGTGTGCGTGTTTGGATAGCGAGGTAGCATGAAGTTGTTCTTGGACAGGAGGGTGGATTGACAGGTGGATCTTAGGGTTAAGATACTCATAGTCAAAATAAAAGAGATCATTGAGGTTTATATGCATACATACATTCACGTATGTTCTTTTAATCGCCCGATGTTTGAATTGGTGATTTTGAATACCAGTATATTGCCACATCCACAGATTGGCGTGGGGGGGGGGGGGGGGGGGGGGGGCGTGCAAAACCCTATCCATGCTTAAAACAACAGTTTTTTTTTATATTCTGAACAGAAAATTGGTAATTTTTTGTTTACAAAAAGAAGCAACAGATATTTGCATACCTGTACCTCACAACTCGTGTGAAAATCGCAGAGAACGTACATGTACATGTATATTCTCAATTTATGAGGCTTTAGAAAAGTATTCGTTTGTATGCAAAAATAGAAACAGCGCCTTCGAATAAAAGAAAAAAATGTATAAACTTTGCGCGAACCCCCCCCCCCCCCACACACACACAAATACAGAAACAGGAATGCAAACGCATTGTATTTTTCTAATGATGTATTAGGTACTAGGTATAGGCGCCTTCTACCTTACTCACCTTCATTTTTCCAAAACAAGGTCGAATCCAGCCTCCTAACCAAATTTCCACCAAAAATAAATAAATAAATAAATAAATAAATAAATACATAAAAATGACAAGAAAGAAGACAGAATGTGAGATGACTACAGATATGAATGCTGGCGGAATGAAATAGGGAGCTCAACTATCTCAGTATAATAAAGACAAAGGCTTTATAAATGATAACTTCTGATTGTGGTCTCTCGGGGCAGGGATTCGGGATTGCAAACGACGAATTGACGACTTACACCACGATTTCGTGGCGCGAACGTTAACATAGTGGTCGAGAGCGCTAACAATCTGACCAGCTTACACCCGGGTCTTTCGTTGTTTATGTTTTTGTAATGCTACTTTTCTCAACCCCAAACTATTTTCAGTGCGGCAGTAATGCACTCTAGACAATCTCTGGAACACAAAGGACGTGCCGAACGGGTAGATTAACGGTTCGCGATTTGCATTTTGGTGTTCGCGACCACAATCTTTCGTTTGCGATATTAAAGCACGGATTGAGACTCAAAATCACGACAGGATATTTTGTTTTAAGGTTTGAAACAAAGAGTTCTTGCTTGCTGGCAATTTATGTAGAAAACGGATTAGCATTTTAAAATGAACTCGGTTCCCCAATCAAAAGCATTTTAAAATGAGAACTTACTTTACTGTCAACGTTTTGAACCAATTCTTTGAAACATTAAAACATGGTGATGCCCAAATCCTACAGAATGAAATATCTCATTCAGCGAACGTTGGTTCTAACCCTGGCAATCCTCTCCAGGATGTGCCTTCATACATTATTCCCTGGTTATATATATCTTGGCGTTCGTAATTGTTGGGGCTTCTGGCTCTGGAAACATCAAACGCAACGGTATGTGTCTATTTGGTCGCAGCGCCTTGGCTCTCTGCATTTTGTTTGGCGTGGGATTAAGCCACAGTCAACAAGACCGATTTTCCAACCTTCTCGAGCTTCTAAAACTACAGGTTCAGATTGAGAAGACGGGGGATTTCCTGCGCAGGGATTGTCCAACCCTGTTCCAGCAGACTGGGGTTTCACGTTATTTGAGGTCTGAACCCAGAGGTAGGAAGCAACTCTCTCTCCCTCTCTCTTACAGTTTCTCATCATAAACAATGTCATTAATTTAAACGTAATCGGGTTTTATCTATACACAGTCTCTTTTTAACAATTGTAAATTCGATAATGAAGATTTCATATGGAAACGTATTACTGCACATTATCTGCGTGTGTCCTGCTTCATATATTCACTGTAGTGTCGGCAATTCCCCTCTACAACTCTCTGTCTTTGATAGTTCTCAGCGTATCTGTTACTTTTGTATGTTCCATCTATTGTGCAAAGCTATCCAACTTATTTGCTCTTTTTCCTTCCAACTTTCCCTATGTTACCGGTTGCTTTATATTTCAGTATTTCTTTACATGTCCTAAGACATTAAACTGGCTTGTTTTTTCTGGTCTTCCTTAAGAGTGTTATATGTTGGCATCTGCTTCCCCTTGGACCGATTTTTTTTGTATGTCTGCAAGATACACGTACGCATCATATCCTGACTCTGGAGTTTTTTCACTTTCTTACTGTCAGTCCATGTTTTACAGTCTTTCATTATAAAAATTACCCTATACATAGCATACGAATCTCATTCTTGTTTCTATTGATACTAGCAAGATAAACTTTTGATCTTAGGTTGAATTGACTTAGAATTACCGTACATATTTGCCACCAGAAGTAATGAAACTACCAAGACAAAATTAATCACTGTTTTGATTTAGTATTGCTTCTTTAAATGTTACGTGCATGTACATACTTTTACTATCCACGCTCACAACAGGAATCCCAAACGTGAAACCCAATATTACATCCTAGAATCAAGATAGTTCTCTGGGTTATCAAAAATAATGTAAAAATAACAAGATGATTACTTCGACTAATCGAAAATGCCGGATGAAATTAAGCACTCATTCCAGATATTTAAACGCCATTTCCCTCCTAATTAACGAAACTCGGTTCAACGAACTTCAATGCCCCATGGTCACCTTGTTTGTGATGTTGTCCATTTCTCAATTTCCCCTAAAGTTGGCCTCCTGCTGTTTGTACAAGTTTGTCTGTTGCGGATTCCCATTTAACTTACTTTTTTACGTAAAAGCCAGTACAGGGCATTCATTTGTCATAGTGGACCGGTCCAGTTAAGTATAACGCACGGTGAGAAAGGGCCTTTCGGTCATCTGTTTTTCGTATCTATCAATGTCATTTTCATTTGCTGCCATGTCTGTCTGTTGGGAGTTTATGTTATTAATATGGTGATAAGTATTTCACGCTTCTTGGAAGGGGCATTTACCACACACAGGCCTACTGGTAGGCTACATATATATACACCAATGAAATATAAGTACATGTAGGTATAAAAAAAGTTCCTAAAATGACCTGTTCAAGGACCGCTTCAAGGGGCACTTCATGACCAGCAATACGGTTCATACTTCTCCGGAACACTTGTATCTTAAACGATCTTGTCTGTCATTGTATTTGTAGTTTGAAATCGAATCCAGCAAGGGGCTCGCCTACAGGCTTAATAGCAAGCAGCAAGTGACCAACAGACTGTGACTGATCATATGACAATACCAATTTTCTGTCAGACTGAGACATTAAACCTGAAAAGCTTATGCTACGATGTATCTTATGTCATGTTTTCTACTCCCAGTGGGGCAAAGCCCGTCGTACAATGGCGTGACATCAGAAGAGTTAGCGCTCAAGATTAGCCTTGCCAGCCACACTCTAGAATTCTTGACCCAGAGCTATTTGAGATGCACGGCAGACCAACAGATCAATACAAATGGTAAGCACACCATTATTAGCTACTTTACGGGTAGGAATCATTGCGTTTAGCACAAAACCTTGTGATGGGCAGTTAAAACAAAAAGTGTTCATTTACTTGTTTTTATGGTATCCCCCTAACAGAAATTGGAAATAAAAGAGGTCATCGAACCAAGCGACCTGAAGGTATTTGTCCAGGTATTATAATCATTAGATATAATCAATTTTTCAAAATTAAATCAGATGAAAGGGACTAACCCATGTGAGCAAAAATTAAAATAATAATAAAGCAATATTAAAAAAAACTTGGCAAAAGTTATGTCTACAATGTCAGTAAGCCTCCATATCGCCATTCAGTATCTAGTTATCAAGAGAATGATAATAACTCATTGCAATTTAGAAGCAATTATTTTACTTTACAAAGGAACGGGATGTGGCATGCCTACAATAGAGAACTCGTCAGGGGTTTTCCAGTACAACCCGGCCAATTCCAGACAGTCTGCGTGGATGAGAGATTCCCAACCGACAAATCAAAGCTCGGCAAACAGAGTGTGGTTCTTTAGAGGATTTGTGAGAGACAACGCGGTGATAATGTTCGACTCAGTAGAGGCCATGAAGCGCAACCACTCACGTGAGACCATCAGACTCCCATACAACTGGGCAGGCACTGGACATGTTGTATACAGGGATTCCGTATACTTTCAGCGTGCCCTCACGAAGAACATAGTCAAGTTCGATTTCAAGAACAGAACTGCCATGATTGAGGCATCAATGAGGGACGTAGACGGGGGCAACACGTGTACATATCCGTGGCGCGGTTACACTACCACTGACTTTGCCGTGGACGAGTACGGGCTGTGGTTAGTGTACGGGAATATAAGTAACAACTGTAACCTGGTCATCGCCAAGATCAACCCGGACACTCTCAACGTGGAGAAATCGTGGGCGACGACCATTAGCAGTGGAAGCGTGGGAAACACTTTCATGAAATGTGGCGTGCTTTACGCCACGAATTCCTACAGTGAATTGTCCAATTACATCCGCTATACCTATGACACCAACACTGGGAAACAAGAGTCGCTTCCACCGAATGGGATCCCGTTCAAACCACCTGGTAAATACAACACCATGTTAGATTATAATCCACATGACGGTCTTCTGTATTATGCAGATATGATTAAGGGAAATCTTGCCACTTTTCCAATTGTCTAATCAATGAAACAAGATTTCGGCTACAAACAAGAAAGCCAAGAAATAAAAAAAGTTGAAACAATGTTGTTGTTTGTCAGAATCTCTAATTTCTCACACAGTAGGNTTCATACTTCTCCGGAACACTTGTATCTTAAACGATCTTGTCTGTCATTGTATTTGTAGTTTGAAATCGAATCCAGCAAGGGGCTCGCCTACAGGCTTAATAGCAAGCAGCAAGTGACCAACAGACTGTGACTGATCATATGACAATACCAATTTTCTGTCAGACTGAGACATTAAACCTGAAAAGCTTATGCTACGATGTATCTTATGTCATGTTTTCTACTCCCAGTGGGGCAAAGCCCGTCGTACAATGGCGTGACATCAGAAGAGTTAGCGCTCAAGATTAGCCTTGCCAGCCACACTCTAGAATTCTTGACCCAGAGCTATTTGAGATGCACGGCAGACCAACAGATCAATACAAATGGTAAGCACACCATTATTAGCTACTTTACGGGTAGGAATCATTGCGTTTAGCACAAAACCTTGTGATGGGCAGTTAAAACAAAAAGTGTTCATTTACTTGTTTTTATGGTATCCCCCTAACAGAAATTGGAAATAAAAGAGGTCATCGAACCAAGCGACCTGAAGGTATTTGTCCAGGTATTATAATCATTAGATATAATCAATTTTTCAAAATTAAATCAGATGAAAGGGACTAACCCATGTGAGCAAAAATTAAAATAATAATGAAACAATATTAAAAAAAAACTTGGCAAAAGTTATGTCTACAATGTCAGTAAGCATCCATATCGCCATTCAGTATCTAGTTATCAAGAGAATGACAATAACTCATTGCAATTTAGAAGCAATTATTTTACTTTACAAAGGAACGGGATGTGGCATGCCTACAATAGAGAACTCGTCAGGGGTTTTCCAGTACAACCCGGCCAATTCCAGACAGTCTGCGTGGATGAGAGATTCCCAACCGACAAATCAAAGCTCGGCAAACAGAGTGTGGTTTTTTAGAGGATTTGTGAGAGACAACGCGGTGATAATGTTCGACTCAGTAGAGGCCATGAAGCGCAACCACTCACGTGAGACCATCAGACTCCCATACAACTGGGCAGGCACTGGACATGTTGTATACAGGGATTCCGTATACTTTCAGCGTGCCCTCACGAAGAACATAGTCAAGTTCGATTTCAAGAACAGAACTGCCATGATTGAGGCATCAATGAGGGACGTAGACGGGGGCAACACGTGTACATATCCGTGGCGCGGTTACACTACCACTGACTTTGCCGTGGACGAGTACGGGCTGTGGTTAGTGTACGGGAATATAAGTAACAACTGTAACCTGGTCATCGCCAAGATCAACCCGGACACTCTCAACGTGGAGAAATCGTGGGCGACGACCATTAGCAGTGGAAGCGTGGGAAACACTTTCATGAAATGTGGCGTGCTTTACGCCACGAATTCCTACAGTGAATTGTCCAATTACATCCGCTATACCTATGACACCAACACTGGGAAACAAGAGTCGCTTCCACCGAATGGGATCCCGTTCAAACCACCTGGTAAATACAACACCATGTTAGATTATAATCCACATGACGGTCTTCTGTATTATGCAGATATGATTAAGGGAAATCTTGCCACTTTTCCAATTGTCTAATCAATGAAACAAGATTTCGGCTACAAACAAGAAAGCCAAGAAATAAAAAAAGTTGAAACAATGTTGTTGTTTGTCAGAATCTCTAATTTCTCACACAGTAGGTCTATGTGTAAGAACGTGTGTGTGTGTGTGTGTGTGTGTGTGTGTGTGTGTTTGTGGAAGGGGGGGGGCGTGTTCTTGGAGGGTGAATTGCTACATATATATGTGTGTGTGTATGTGTGTAAATTTATATCTGTGTAACGCATGTTTATTTTTGTAACTATTTCGCAAATTCACTTGTGTCGCAAACTGTGTGCTGACCTTTAATCAACTTTGTGTCCATAAAAGCTTCATCTTAAGCCACCAAACGTCATCCAACCCCCGCGTAGACGTGACATTATGGACGCCATCGCCTGACGTAAACTAAACACCTGTTCATACCATCAGAGGGCCAGGCACCAAGCGATGTTGTTGTAAGTCAGCTTCTAGACACCAGTACCGCCGCCATTACGTTAAGACTCCGGAAGTCTTTATCGCAATAACTAAGATAAAAAATATATGTACTGTAATATATTATAACACAATGCATGTTATGTCGTGTGAGATAACGGAGTTATTTCGCGTGCAGCCCTCTGCATCAACTTCACTCCAACCATGGGAATGAATGGGGATACAGCGACGGTAAACGTATTCTTTTCCGCCATGAGTCAAGGCACCGTCAGCACATATGGTCATCATCAGGGTATCCACCACTATCTCCTGACCTCGGGGACAGTGCGTGTTTGATATAACACCAAGTAGGCGGACATATGTTGAGTATCTCACCAGTATCGGGCAGAGTCGACGCCATGCTGTTCCTCTTAGCGCTGGTATCTGTGGTTGGGTTCGGCCTGGCCACCCCGACTAACTATAACTGGGGGCAGTGCTTGTGTTTGACAGGAACCAATGTTAATGTGCGCAGCTCAGGTAAGTCAAGGGGATTTTACCAAGAAAAAAGGACTCGAAAAAGGTTAGAGAGCTGAATAGATATGTAATATTTTAAATAAACATAAGGTAAATGAAAATGAAAATGAAAACCAAAAAAATAGGATTGAATAGAATTGAATTGACAGATTAACTATTATGAAAATGTCTGAAAATTAAATAAAGAATTGATCTATACAGAAAAAAGGTTCCCCGTTTCCGGGCTTGTCCATTGATTCATTTCTGCTTCTCAAATTGCAAAAAGCACGCTCTGACTTCCGACCTTTTTTTCTAAATACTCGGCGTCTCCAGTTATTGGAACCAACTGAAATTATCAAATGCCGAAATTTAAACGGACTTTAATGTTTCAAAAGAAGTGCGTACACAAACAACGAACACGCTCAAACCGCGGAACAAGGAAATAATTGGTCTGCATGTATATTGGATAATTGGTGATTATGTTTCAGCTTGTGGAACCAAAATTGGAACCGCTTCATCTGGCCAATGCTTCACATCTAAAGCGTCCAGGTTAACCTCCTGCGGCTACGTGTGGTATAAAGTGAACTACAATGGAAAGGTAAGTAAGTTAGATATAATGACCCTCATAGGGGAACATTGTAGGAGGCGTGCCGGAACAAAAATGGTGGACTCAGCCCCGTTTCGTTGCAAAATGAATAGCAAACATTTATCTTTATGACATCGGGTTGTCGATATTTCCCAAAACTGATTTCTTTTCATTGGCATCAGATCTTGCATGTGACAGCGGCCCAGCTACATTTTACTTTAGGAATCTCAAACACTCCAATAAAGGTCATTCTGGTCTTTTATTCATATCTGATACAGTGACATTCAATGAATTTGGCAACACTCCAATATTTGTATTCTTTTATATCTGATCGCAAATCTTATAAATCTTATACGACATTTTTGTGCAGTATTTGTACTTTATTTTTACTTAGAATGTTGTTTTATGACACAAATGGCAGTCTGTTACAATGGGAACAGATATAATGTATATATACTACAGTTTAGATTAAATCAAAATAAAATATCTATTAATTTTTTTCTGTCTAGGATGGCTGGATAGCGGGTGACTATTTAGTGACCAGTTCCAGTTGTAGTGGTAGTAGCAGCTCCGGCGCAACTGGAAAAGGACTATGGTTTGGATCTTGATTTTCTTGTCTTTTACAAATGAATTTTAATAAGATATTACCTGTAAACCAAATATTCAATATAGAATATTTGAAATAAATATTTTATGAGCAACATAATAATGAGGATACATGCTAATTAGGACAAACGCAGACACAAGAAAAGACACGAGCATGCATGTAAACATATGCATAAATACATTCACACAGGTGCAACATACACATTAAATATACTCTGAACCATATACAAAGTACCGGGAGCATATCGAGTACTGATGCTAAGTTGATAATCCCTCTGTTACAGCACCAGTGCCAACATTCAAACTGTTGGCCGGGTTGTCCACGGCGAGGCCAAAGGAGAGTCCATAACTGGTCAACTGGCCGTAGCGTACACCATTGTAAACAGAGTGAAACACAATGGATACCCAAACACACTCAAGTAAGAACTTTTATTTATCGTCTGAGTTTCAGTGCTGAATTTGTTAACAACTTTTACGTTTAATTGTAGAGTGCATTGAAATGTATGAAAATGGAATGCACTTTACGATATAACATATTATTATTATTAATAATCATATTATTATTATGATTATTATGATAACATCCTGACAAGTGGGCCAGCAGAATGGTCGGGGTGGGTAGACATACTGCGTATGCAAGAACTGCTTACTTTTTGGAAAATCAGTAACCGAGTTTTATTAACAATCACTATATAAGTCCCAAATAAGGTTTACCTGGGAGTTCCACTAAATGCAGATTCTATAAATAAACTTTATTGCCATATAATTACTGGTATAATTATATACTAGTAGTTGGTTAGATATTTATATATCTTTTTTAGTTTTTTCAGAGTAATGTTTGTGAATAAATTCGATTAGTGAGTATGTCCTTTCGAGCGTATTTGTAAGTGGCATATATTTAGTAAATTAGTTAGTCAATACGTGGGTGAGGTAATGTTCATAGAACTTGTACTAGTCATCTTTTTTTTTTTTTTTTTTTTTTTTTTTGCAGTGGGGTTGTTTACCAACGATACTCCAGTGGTTACCAATACAACACCCTCGATGATCCCAATCACGACAGAGCCTGGGCTTCATCCAAAGCCAACAACGATGCCACCTATCGTAGAGCAATCGAAGCCGCTGAAGACGCGTTGTGTGGCTACAAGTCAGACCCTACCGGCTGCGCAACAGACTACTGCGCATACGATCCTTGCTCGGCGACAAAGCCCAATGCTTACTGGGACGTCTACAATAAGAAGAAGATCGGAAACCACTGGTTCGTTTGCCGCAGATCCAAGAGTGGCTAAGCAAAATTAAGTCAAAACTGTCAAACCATCAAAAGTTGTTTCTAGCATGTTTTTGAAAATAAATAATTGCATATAAACGCCAATCCATGTATAGGCTCATTGTTGACTTTTCGCTGCGCAATAAGCATGCTCGTCAGAAATGTTGAAAAGTTCACAATTTTCTACTCTTAATTTCGTTGCTTGGCTTTAGGTTGCATATCAGACTATTACAGAGCTACTTTAACTTCTAAACGCTTTTACGTAAACGTATACTATAAATAATACAAGGGGTTAATTTATTTCAACTTGTCATACTTAAAAACCGAACCACAAAAGTGATTGGACTCACAATGGCGCTTCTACTTTAATGCCACGCATTTTGTAAGCTGAGACTATTTTCCATTAACTGAATTAATAAGGTCGATTTAGAAGCGTGGCCTTACCACACATCTAAAACTTACCCTAAATTTAGGCCTTGAAATCACTCCCGAGGTTCTATATCAGCTGCAATTGCGAAAACATCAACACATATAATTGCGCGCAATATTGATCTCACACGCGCACAAATTTACAAACGTGGAAATAATTCAAGAAATATAAAAACTGCACATTAAATATCTTAAAGAATCTGAGAGTAGGTACATAGATATAATGCCACTGAATACATGTTTTATGTTATTTTGGGGCTGACCCATTAAAGTCCAACTATCGAGTAAGAAAACGTTTTAATTTTGAGTTTTGAAGAAAGAAGGGGTTTTGTAACTGCCATTGGCCTGAAGGAAAAAGGAACTTAAAACAAAAATTAATTTATTGTCAGTCCAGCTTTTCTCATCCCGACAGACTGGTTGTAAATAAAAAATGCTGTTTGATTTAATAACTGGAATAAATCGACACGTTTGATTAGAAACTTAAGAACACGCCTCAGAAATTGTATAGTAATATCAACGCCCTTAAGGGTGTATCTTATAAAATACAGGGTTGTGTAGTTTGAAGTGCAATATGATACACAAAATCCAAGATTTCGTATTTAGGCGATTTTATTGGGTAACTTATAACTGGAATTGTGTCATCGGGTGTCATAATCCTGGAGTGAATATAGCAATCTGTTAGGTTGATAATTGCAGATACAGTAGTTATTGACCAAGAAACTGGCATTAAGTGAGTCGAGAAAACACAATGAGTAAAGTGAATTCAGGGCAATCTTTAATTGATTAATTTTACAATTTGTGGTCGTTTTTTCCTTAGGCTGTTGCCCTTAACAAATTATTGACAGATATCGACACACCAAAACTTTTGCACACATCGTGACGAATGAGTAGAGGTCCCGGGTCGTATTTAAACAATTATGCCATAATTCAAAACTCGTATAAAACGTGTTTTATACGAATGCCCACAACACATACTCGAGAGCCTTTCATTCCTCTCCATTTACATGTAAAGGAGAAACGAACTACGGCGAGTTTTTTTTGTGTGTGTTTTTTATTCCGCACATATTCATATTCTGATTCAAGCAATTATTCTGATACATTGTTACAGTTGTTAAATATTGAAACCAAGCCCCCTTTTCACAAAGAATCTTAAATTTGTAGTTGACTACACTAAATTCTTAGTCAGGAAAGTTGACTTTTTTGTGAACTTAAACAAGCATTCGTTTCACAAGCAAACTTTAGTCGGGTTTCCCGACTAAGAGCTTGGTTATAAATATTATTAAGTCCGTGAGTCACTTGGTCACGTCTCACAGAGATTCTAAAAGGCCGCTACCTCGTTTAACCCTAGCTGAAAGTTAACGAAGCCTCAACTCCTCTGGAGCTGTTATACGGCTGAGTTAGTGTGCAAGCTAAACTAAAACTAAATAAGAGCATAATCAACAAAAAGTTTCAAAAAGGTTCATACCTTCTTCAAGGTGTTGTGTTAAATATATTTGAATGTTACATACATTTATTGGATTTTCTAATAAAAATTTAATGTAACATCATCCGATCGGATTCATGTACTCTTGACTAACAGATGTCCGATGGCAGCGTTTCAAAGCAAGGTAATGTTAAACTTAATTTTCAAACGTCATGTCATGTGAATTTATCCGGATTTTACACCTCATATATTTGAAAAGTTTCGGTAGAAAATGTTAGCCAAGTTAACTACCGTAAATAGGACCAAAGATTGCTTGTGAAACACTCCCAGTCAGCTAAAGCGTAGTTGACCTTGCTAGGTCACATAGCTAAGCCTAGTCAACTACGGATTTAAGAATCTTTGTATAATGGGGGTCATGGACCATATTACGTTGCAATCTTGCCTTCATTTTCTTTGAAGTCGAAATTCTCCGTTACATTGCAAACTTGTTAAGTTAAAACATTTTTATTGTAATTTTCAAAATGCAGTCAAACCATTGCCATCTGACCTAGCTATTTTGTGTCACATAGTAGGGTCAATACATGTCCTCAGGTTCAAAATGTTATCGCCAGTCGTGACTTAAGAGCCCTGCAATACATGTACATCTTTGCCGTTACCGCTGACCCCAAAAAGGACGGGAGCGGCACCTTGGCCTAGGGGTTCACAGGGGCAATTAGGACGAAGAAAAAAGCTTCTTGTTAAGCTTCTTTTGTTTAGCTCGTAAAATGTACGCAGACATTCTGAGCATTTTCACGGGCGAAAGTTATTAATAGAGTTAATTTGGGCATAAATTATTTAGGACCCATTTACAGGTGAAAACCGTTGACTTTAAATAAGAAATGAAACAAAAGGTAGCATGCGTTCATCAGAGATTTTATCGTCGATCTCCTCATCACGATTGGTCCGTACATAGCTTTATAAACCGATGCGGACATATTCGTCACACTTGCCTTAAGCTCTTAAGACAGAAAGAACTTGCTGTATGATTATGTTCAGTTTTCGATTTGGCGTTTTGTTCCTGTGCATCTTTCTTAAATTTGGACGAGGACAGGATAACCCATCGGTCAATCAAAATCAGTTTGCCAAACTTCTCGAGTTTCTAAAACTTCAGCTTAAAATTGAGAAGATCGGCGATGCTCTCCAGAAGGAATGCCCAACTTTGTTCCAGCATCCAGATGTGTCGAGCTTTTTAAAACCAACCATAGGTACAGTAAACCTACAATAGTGATAAGTTCAAAACTACTTCTCTCTCTCTCTCTCTCTCTCTCTCTCTCTCTCTCTGTGTGTGTGTGTGTGTGTGTATTTTTCCGTAATCATGATGCCATGCCTGATATCTAAGACTGGGTTCACATCCCTAGTTCGATCCATCTGGATCGGTCTATCTCCCTGGGGAATCTCACAAAATTGTTATCAACTTAACCAGCTTAAATGTCTTTTTACAAAAAAGACCTTGGAAGAAAATCAATCAATCAACTAAATATCGATCTTGACTGCATTAGTCAATACCGATAGACTTTCAGATAATACAAGTTGATTTGGTTAAACATAGTAATGTTTATCAACATATTTCTTGTTTAAATTAGCATATTTGGCAAAAGGCCCTTGGAAGTGAAATACGATTTCTGCTTTAAAGGTGTCATATATTACAAGTCACATGACAAAGCGCTTGAAAGTGTCTGTATGTAGCACAGGAAACAGATGTTGATATATTCTGTGTCAAAAATAACAGAGTAACTGAAATCACGTAGAAGTTTACCTCATCGTCTGCGTGGCCTTGTTCTGAAATGTTCCCATACTTGTGTATGAAGAAAAAGTTGTGGTTTTTAGACAATAAACATACACCGAACTAGAAGCAGAACAAAATCAATTTGTACAAATTAATACAGAGGTACATGTATTTCCAGGACTGACTCAAGACCGAGGGACTTATATACTATTCTCTTGTTTTCATTTTACTGTAGGAAAACGCCAACTGTATTATGGCCTGTCATCTGACGAATTTGAGGTTAATATAAGCCTTGCCAAGCATACCCTAGATTTTTTGACCCAAAAGTACCTCAAGTGCAAGAATGAGTCACTAACAGCACAAGGTAAGGTAGTATAATGAAAAAAAACAACTTAGTAAGTAAATAAATTGTGTGCTTCTGATATTATAGAAGAAAAACTGTGTGCTGTGTTGAACTTGATATATTAATACATTTAAAAATACTGCTTGGGTACCCATGAGTTTAGCTTTGAGTTGACAATGAAAGGTGATCATGTTTCCATTACTTCATTTCTATATCGGTTGATTTACAATTATTATTATATTATTGTCGGCATGGGTTATCTGTTTATGTTTTTAGAAATCGACCAATGTTCAAGAGCCCCTTGTGCAAATGGAGCCACGTGCAAAGGCCAACTGAATTCTTTCCAATGCGTGTGCTTGCCTGGCTTTACAGGGAAATTGTGTGAAAATGGTGAATATATATTTTTCTTAAAAATCGAAAACAGGAAGTGTTTTCCATGGGTAATTTCACTTCAGACTTTGATTGCAACTGACACCGTAATGAAAATTCAAAGTTTGTCTAACTGGCGCTTAATATAGGCCGTACATGAACTACCATAAATCTCAGTATCCAAAAGGATTCGTTCCATAAGCTGACGTAACCAGTGTTTAGATATTTAAAATAAGGCTTGAACAAATAATCTAGAAAATAAATTATGGTTTCTTGTTTTACTTTGTCTCTCAATTCCGCAATATGGAAACATGGAGGCGCTGTGCTGACTCTCAACACTACAAGCTTTTCCATTCTTCTCTGTTGTGTTCTAATGCCTGGGTCTTGGATCACCTCATGCCTGTCCATCCTTTAGTGGTGTCTTTTCATTGCTTCTTTTGTCTGCCACGTTAATAACGTTTCTGTAACCAGAAAGACCTTGTGTGAAGTTCTGATAACGCGACAAACGATCTGTGTTTGCTGGGTCTCACCCTCGTTTGTGCCTTGGAGAGCATTATCTTCGCAAGACCATTTGATCTTGCTGCATGTCCGTTACACAGGGGGCTTTCTTTTATTTCTTTTTTGTGAAGTTTGTGTGAAGTCCATACCACATGCATAAAGAAATACAGAGAGAATCAGTAACATTTAAAAGTTAATCTTATTATCTATCTATCGTTCTCTTCTGGTATCTATAGACAGGTTTGGGTTTACTTCACGTAAGGTAAAATGCAGTTTGCGCTATTAAAAGCAATTAATTCTGGTTTTAAGCCTTTATCACTGATAAAGGCTCCAAGATATTTCAACTTAATTACAATTCTGGAATTTTTTACATTGAATTTGAATGTGTTTTCAGAAAGTTGCCATTTTATCTGACATGATTTTAATTTTCTGCCGAATTATTTCTATTCCGAACTTTGTTGAGGTAATTCCATGCTGTTTAACCAGGCTCCTCTACGGTCCCTGCAGTTTCATCCATATCATTTGCAAATTTAAGATTTGTTAAGTCTCTTCCCCCAATACTGATGGTACGTTTAAAATGGGTATAATTGTATCATTATTCTAAACTTTTGATTAAAAAAATTAATTTGGCCAAAAATTAATTTAAAACTTGTCAGTTACCTATGCAGTCATAGGGTCGTTAACTGTGACGTAATCAAATTACGAATGTATTACAAAGGGTATACTGAGCAACGTTTAAGACACATTACCGTTATACTAGCAATGTTAATTATAATAATTGTTTTTTATTAATAAAATTGAGTTCTCAAATATTATATGTAGTTAGTGTCACGCAAAAATAAAAGAATCAATACACTGTTTTTATGGATATGATAATTATCTCTTTATTAGCATTGTCTTTTCTCAATTCTTTTTATTAATATATCGGTCTGTATATTTTCTCAGACATTGATGAGTGTGCTAGTAACCCATGCACCGCTGGATCCACGTGTCAAAACCGCCACGGTCACTTTGTGTGCGCTTGTCCAGCAGGATTTGCGGGGAATCTTTGCCAGCATGGTAATAGTGTATGCTTAGTAGAAATAAGAAAGAAAAGCACACACTTACTCTCTCTTTCAATCTTACACACAAACACCCCAGTGCTCTCTCGTAACGCCAGTCAATAAAAAGAGATTTAACTAAATATCTTAACCGAGCAAAATGTCTAAACTATTTTTCATGCCCAGAATAATCTTTGTTATTTACTGTAAAATTTTCAACATACATGACGTTCCATTACGTAAATATAATTCTGATGTTCCCCTTTTTACCATTAACAGCCAATTACGTATCAATGTTGTAAATACATTGAAACTCTTTTCACGCATATATAATTTTCGACATGAGTGAATGATCAGGTCAACCTGAGCAATGTCTTGTCTCACAACTTATTACTGATATATCGGTCTGTACATTTCTTTAGACATTGATGAGTGTGCTAGTAACCCATGCACCAATGGATCCACGTGTCAAAACCGCCATGGTCACTTTGAGTGCGTTTGTCCAGCAGGATTTGCGGGAAATCTTTGCCAGTTTGGTAATTATGCGTACTTAATTATATTTGGTAATTATGCACATTGAAATTTGAAAGAAACGTCCACACTGGCTCTCTCTTTCACACACACACACACTGGACGTCCGAGTGCTCCCTCGCAACGCAAGAAAAATGATTACATTAAATACAGAAAATTGTCGATTCAAGTGCAGCCGCTAACCGAGCTGTAAAATACAGTAAAAGTAAAAGGAATGTCTTATATTACTTTTGCACGACCAGTATAATCTTCAATATTTAATGTAAAATTTGTAAGCAATTTGCCAAAGTACCGGTAGTCGTTCCAGTGCATACATTATCTGATGTTTCACATTTATTCCCATAGGAAAACGATAATACACCAGATATATCGAAACACTTCATGTGTGTATTTTCTAGATATCAGTGAATGTTCCAGTCGGCCGTGCCAGAAGGGAGGAACATGTGTGGATTTAGTTAACGGCTATAGGTGCATCTGCCCTGACGGACATTATGGAAAACATTGTGAAGGTATGAAACAAACAGAGCACAGTCCCACATTTTCTCTCACTGGGCACGTTTCTTCGTACATGTACTAGTAGTCACTCAGGGACTGTGTATTTTATTATTATCAATGTATTGTACCTATAGCAAGCTACAGATTTCGCCATATTTACTTCTCACGATAAAGAAGAAATCGCCCAATATCCCATTCGAGCAATTAACTTTCATGTGCATTCGGCTTAATCACTAGTATTCCGTAGCTGATCGAGGAGGCGTTTCAGACAATTAAGCTGATTCCACTACTTGCACTTAATGAGAATACCCCTCAGAGTTGGACTTACCCAACTATTACGATGCAGTCTATCAGAACACATCTTATGGTATTAATTTAAATCGAATTTAGAACCATAGCAACAAGCATATTTTAGAGGAAATAATTCTGGTTTGAATAGTTTTTAGCCAAAGTTTAACACTGAACAAAAAATGAAAGGAAATTCAATTTTAAGCGTTGGCAAAGCAATTCTACTGTAATATAGTCACCTGCTCTTTTATTCAAACAACTTTTCTCCCAGTATGTATTAATATTAAGTTTATATGTGTGTGTTTGCGTGTGTTTGTGTTTGTGTATTATAAATAAGTTAAGAGCAACGTAATTGAAACTGGATGTTGATATGTTGTATATTTTCTGTCTCAGAGGTTGATCACTGTCGCAGTCAACCATGTCAAAATGGAGCAACATGCGTGAATGGAACTACCACATACAACTGCATTTGCCCTGAGTCAGTATATGGAAAAAATTGCGAAAAAGGTACGTAGTAAGTAATGTCGTCAGTTTCTTTTTTATTTGCTACCAATATAGTTATAACTCAGTACATCATTATAAGCCAGGACCCATCATTGGTTCTTTGTCTGCTTGGTTGGTGGCTATATTCATCAATAAACCAATTTGCTGCAGTATTTTTGTTCTTCAATGAGAGAAAATCATAATTTTAACATTTACATATTTAAAGATGCATACAGAGTCAATTTTTTGTCACCAAAACCAACCAAATGCCAGCATATAGTTTCAAGTAGTATAACTAAGAGAATTACCAAAAGGCATTGTTTAATTTTACCCGAAAATGATGTTTGAACGTTTTTTTCTGCTGCCATTCTAAGCTGTATGTCAATGGGGCAGAAAAGTAGGTCATGAAAGTAGGTTAAATTTCCAACCAAAAATTTAAAGAAAGGAGCAGTCTAATGGTCTTTTATGGCGGATCGAGTGATCTATTCAGTTTATCCCTTGGCATGTCGAATTTATTTGAGTCATATTAGAAACTAGTAGAAGTGGTTTACATGTGTTACTGGGAATCCACGCTCCACCGATGCTCGGTTCGTATGTACCTTTAAAGTTTCAAGACTACACTCGGAGTATTGCCTTTGTAAAAAAAAAAAAAAAAAAAAAAAAAAAAAAA